GCCTGCTCAGCATATAGCTGCATGACCATTTGTACCAGCACAAGAAAGGGGACAGTGTGGGTGTGGAAATAAGCAGGTGGGAGCAAGACTGCTTCTTCTGGCAGCAGTTACAGCTATTCACTCACTGCTTGTATAACTGAAGCAGTGCTGTGTTCAAAGGGTTTGGGCTGCTGTGTGTGTGTGAAGTGTTATTAGTTAACTGTAAATTCATCAAAGTCTTACATGTTGAGTTTCCAAAATATTCTTATTTGAATCCTTGATATCACATCCCACAGAAAAAAGGGAGCGAAGGTTCAGTAATTAGGAAAGTGGTCAGAGTCAGGGTATATGTTCTTGACTGTGGATGGTATTTTAGGCTCGGTGTGAAGGATTTTTTCCTCATTAACTAGTAATGGGACAGAAAACCTCTGTTGAGTTTCACTAGCTTCAAAGCACAGTTGTTGGATTTTGCCTGAAGTCTCTCCAGATACAATGAAGAATTTGAAGTTGAGGATAAAGTATGTTATTCAAGGTACTCAAAAGTCTGATACCACGAAGTCAGTCAGATTCAAAATTAAATGATTGTGTCTAAAGGTTGTTCAGAATTATTTTGCCTCAGGAAACATTCCAACACAAGATATATCAAGTTAACAGCTCAAAATGATTCTGTTTATTGAGACCTCCTGGGATCAGTGTTTAAAAAAAAGTGTATTCACTTTGCCACAAGCATACTATAGAATACTTCTTTGTAAGGTATGTTTTGATTCAGGCATTTGTAACTGAATTTAAGTGCACTGTTCCCTCATTAAGTCAGACTAGGCTGCACTGAGGCATGTGTGTTGAGTAACAACTCGCAATGCTCTGACAGAATTAGTAAGCTGTCTTTCAAAAAGAAGTTGTTGCTTGCCTCAAGAAGAAAGCCAGATGTGGGTCTGGTGTCTTTTTTTCTTCAGTAGATGAGTAACTACAGCGGTGTCCAGGGGAGTCACCTGCTCACCTGGCTGTATCGGGGAAGCTGGCCCCTGGGAAAGAGCATGGAGTGTGGCTAGCCCAGTTGGAGAAGGGAGTTGTGGGCTCTAAGGACTCTCTGAAGTCTGTAGTTCAAAATGCATGGGGTAGAGAGAGAGTTTTTTAAAATGGAGGCGGTAACCTAGCACACTGATTGTTCTGCCCTTGCTGGCTGGGTATTTGAAAGGTCTTTGGCCCTTGCGTTTTGTGCAGAACGCAGTGATGGCAGCATGTATCTAGTGTGGTGTTCAGTGGGTTGGATCTCTTGGAATACATGCAGGAATTCCAGAAATATCATTGTGGTTTCTCAAGGAGCTGATTCGATAGCAGCTTGTTATTGCTGAGGGTTGATAAAGATTTCTGTTCAATTGAACTGTAATTAATGTCTGAATGTTTCTGTTATGATACTTTAGAAGTAAAAGGTACAAGAGCAGACTATTTTTTGTGAATGAAACTACCACGTTTCACTTTCAGCTTTTAATGGTTGGAAATGTGTGCCCAATCAGTTACGCAGAACGTACACCCCAACGTTTGTCCAGCTGTAATGTGATAGGCAGTACTCACTTGTGTGCATTTCATACAGTAGTCTGAAGTTGCTGAAGATACATGAAGTTTGAGAATTGCTTTCTTAGGCTTAATCATCCAAGTCATTTCGTGAATGTAAGAGTGATGTTTGCCATTGCCACTTGCTACTGATCTCTTTGTCTTTCCTCTGTATGGCAGTGATTTGTGAGAATTATTTATAGGTTGTGGACATGTAGGAACTTCTCTACTGGTGATCATTTTAAGTCTCAATAGGCCATTAACTGTGCTTGGCAGTTAAACTCCACACATCTGTTATTTAAACTCTTGACTTGAAACTTATGATTTTACTTACTGATTCATGCTTATCAATGTTTTTGCCTGTTGGAAATATGGGAATTTGGAAACATTGGGTAAAACCTACATGAAGCTTAAGCTTAACTTTAGATTTCACTTTCAGTCTCTGAAAATAGTTTTATAAAATCGAAGCAGGAGTTAAAATCTTGGGAGAATCTTCTGTCATTTGAAAAATAAAATACGATTGTATTGGTTTGTCCTCATAAGGTTATGTAAATGCTGCTGTAGAATTTTAATGAACTGGGCAATTCAGAACTGAAAAATACCAAGCCGTGTCTAAAGGCAGTGTTAAAAACATTACAGTTTTGCATTTGAATATTGTTTTGACAGACCTGGTAACACCGTAATTGTTTTTTCTTCCTCAGTTTTCAACAAATATGGAAACTATATGGGTCAAAGCTAATGTCTCAGTCTTGCAAATGACACTTAACAACAATGCTTCCTCTGTTAGTATATACAGAATTACAGCCTGAATTATTTCACTGGAACAATGTGCTTTGTGCTGCAATTTACAGATGCAGATCTTCACGTAAAAATATTTTTTAGAAAGGTACATGGATAAATGCTTACGTAGAAGGACGCTCTAGAATGTCCACCAGTGTCAGACCTGTGTCTTGATTGCATGTTTGTATTATAAAGAGTCTTTTGCAAATCTGGTGTAATACGCAGTGAGAAATCTTCTGTGTGCAGGTTTGAGAATGTCATGTCCTTTGTAGAAATGGAAGAGTGGAAAAGATGGAGTGACTTGGAATGAAAGTGTCAGTGTTTCAATATTTTTAAAAGGTTAACATTTGAAATGACAGTTTCAAACATTTATTGACCAGAATGTTAGCTTGAGAAGACTTGTGTGGTGAAATAATCATAGGATGGTATCCTGAATTCTAGCCTTAAGTAGCAGTCTGCATTTGCCCTTTTAGATGCTTATGCAGTTGAGTGTCTACAACTTCTTTTACTAAGCTACTGGTGACGTGCATGCTATGTCATGGTATGGCAAAGTAGCAATATCTACCTTTAAGGACTTCTCACAAGTACAAATAGATTATAGCTGCTATAATCTCTTCTGAGGAAAAGGCAGTAGGATATTTTTGTACGTACCTGTATATTAGTTTGAAACCCTTGAACTCTCTAGTTAATACGCTCATCTGCTTTGTGAGGTGCAGTAATTACTTGGCTTGGTGAATTCCAGAGTCATTTCTATCAGGGTAAAATTTAGGCAACTTTATGTAAAGTACAATCTCTTAATTGTGCTCTAAAGCATAATTTTTGTGGTGAAATGAGCTTTTCTGTGAAATGTGGAATTGAACTAGTGGTTATTATAAAGTGTATTCACAGAGTGGTAGAGTGAATGCTTTAATTGAAAAGTAGGGAGTGCTGCATTTGAAGGACTGACGTATCTGTGCGGTTTTTGTGATTTGTCTTGTCAGAGCAGATGAAGGCTCTTAGTTATTTCTAAAATTCCTGAACATCATATGAACAGTGTAATTTGAAGTTTTGACTTGTTTGATGTGTTATGTGGATTATTGAAAAATCAACTTCTGCCATCCAGAATTTGTTTAGAGTGAAATAACTCTTAACTTTCAAGTCTTCCATCAGTCCTTTACTGAGAAATCAGAAGCTGAGGACCCACTATAAGAGCAGTTTTATAGAAGAAACAATCTGCAGATGTTTCTGTCCAATTTGGGTGAGGCCTGGAGCCTGTCCTCCCCTTTCACCCACCACTGCACGCACCAAGTAGAATAGCACCCTAGAAATTACACATGCCCCTGTGTATACTGGACTTGTCTGTCTTCAGAGAGAAGGAAGCCTTTACCAGGCTAAAGTAAGGGCTCTTTGGAGATACTGGTTAGGAGGAAAGTTGGAAGACTTCAGTCTTTGGCACAGGGCAATATACTTGATGACTATCATAATATTATAAATCAGCAGTTTCAAAATTATGCTTCCAGGAGTGCATTAACCTTTAAGTCACTTGATGGATGTAACTTGCAATTGAGAGCAGGTAAAACTAGTAATCAACAAAACATTTAAATAGTGGTGGTGATTGTCTTTTTTTTAAAAAAAATTTTAAAACCTCTCTCAAATCTGAAACTACAAACTGGTGTGTAAACAATTACTAGATACAGTTACTAACCTTGGATTATTACAACTTCAAAACTAGAATTTCGGTTCTCTGTATGCAAAGAAAGAAATCTTGCCTTATGTGTCATCCTGCTGAGAAGTTAAATACAGTGGTCTGGTTTGGGCTGGTTTTGTAGGTCGTTTGGTGGGGCAAATAGGGCACGTCAGTGAAGATTATGTCAGTATTTTATGTTTGGATAATCTTGACTGAGGGCGCAGTTGAAATTTGGAAAAGTGGAGTGAGGTTATTAGCATCTTCATTCTCACTTCCTGTTTTTCCTTTCTGGAAAAATACAAAGTGTAATGGTTCAGATTGAGAAACTAGTGAATTTGCTGTTTGTCCATAGTCAGAAAACAGTTTTGTACAGGCCGTGTTTATTGTAGCATTTTTGATGGTACAGGAGTCACTAAGGTAGGCTGTCTTTAAGAGCGTTAGGAATAAGAAGTCATCTCTTTATTACCTTCAGCTGTGTACTTCAGAATGGGTTCATATTAATAAAAACTTTCCTACAGGAAATAATTCAGGTATGAAGGAACAGTTTTGTATGAAACTGGGTAGCTTCATCATTTATAAACGCAGTAATAAGCTGAATTGCAGGGTTATATGCTAATCTTTCGCCTGAGCCACTTAAGGTAAAATGTTTACCTGTGTCTGGAGGGCTTTTTTAATATAATGAAGGAATTTGTTAGTATGAATTCTATTTTGAATTGTTGTTTACATTTCCTTATACACTTGCTTCTTTTTTTACTTTATGAAATGTAGTCTGTTGTGTATTACAGCTTAACTCATGTTTTATGTAACACTGCTCCTGCGATTTCTGTGTTAAAATAGTGTCCACTGAACTTCATGTTATGATATATGGAGGCTATTCCTTTTAAAGTTACTCTGTGAATGGTGGTTTGGAGCTCGGGAATAATATTTTATTTATACTATAAAATTGACTTTATGCAAAAAAAAAAGTCAATTTACTATTTTAAAGGATTATGACTTGTTAATTTTGTTTTTATGTACTATAGGATATGTTTTGGAGTTGCAGACAAAGTATCTTTGCTGAAATGAAGAAGAAATTTGCACAGGTAGCCAGATGAAATAATCTTTATAAAATGATAACCAAAATACATAGTAACAGCATGATGGTATAGCTTTTGTTTATTTCTTAACATGAGCATGAGCTATTGAATTTTTTGTGCATGTTCTTGAACATAAAGATTATATACGTATTAAATGCAGTCTTAACAGTAGAAGTTTCAAACTGAGTATGTGTTTATATGCTTTTACACTGGTGTGTGAGTGTTTGGCCCTCTAGCTTTTCATTAAAAAAATGGAATTGTGTAGCTGTCATAATATATCAGATTATGTAACGATTAAAATTAAGCTTTGTGTTTACTTTGTGGACTCAGTTTGATAACAGCCTGTCAAAATAGTTGAGGCCTATCACTGGCCAGTATTGTCTCTTAGACTATTTTTATAGTAAAGTAGCTATAAACAAGATGTTTGCGTTGTTGCCTGCTAGTTCAGATGGTATATGTGAATGCTTGCCATGAATAGAGCTGGACTGAGGTTATTTTTGCTTTATCTATTTACTATGAACAACTTGAAGCGGTGGCAGCATGAATGATGGCTTAATACCCTTTGCTGTACTAACGCTGAGTTAAACCAGTTTGGTCTGTCAGAATTACATCAGTGAACAAGGAAGAGAGGATTTGTCTGACATGGAACATCCAGCAACCCAACCAGCAAATCTTCTGTAATCTTCTATAATTTGTTCGCTTAATGTTATTTCCACCCGTCAGATACTGTGTGTCTTAATTATTTTCAGTAGCAACTCCAGTATAAGTCACACGTGATTCACTATCAGAGGTAGTGGAGGAAGTGTGAGTAAGAGGAGTTGAATTTATAGGTATCTTCTGCAGAGGTCTTGGTTACGTAAAGTCAGTGGGACAACAAGAAATTGAGTCTCCAGTGGAGAAATTCTATTCCTGACATGTTCAGGTATAGTGGCAAGTCAAGTTGCAGGATCAGTACAAAATTACTAAATCTGAGTTACATTTTCCAAGATGAAGCTGTATGACTAGTAGCAAATGTCTCTTAACCTCTCTGCACTGTTCTACAGAGGAGGGTGGGCTTCCACCCCGAGCAAGCTGCTACCATTGCTGGGGAATCTGGGTTGTAAGTATAGGTTGATCTTAGGAGTTTGGGTTTTAGCTGCTGCTCATCTCCACAAAAATCAAGAAAGTAGACCACTGAACAAGCTTCATCTTCTGTTTAGTAACTGCACAGTGAAAGAGGCGGATTGTGTGCTTGTTGTTTAGCAGGGGGGGGGAAAAAAAATGAAGTTGTGCTGGGAGATTTAAAGGAAAGAACCCAGGAGAAGTAATCACTGTTGAAATTTAATTTTAGCTACTCAAGTACAGCTCTGTGTATGTCTGTAGGTGCTGTGGATGAAAGCAAGGATATATGTCAAAATTACTGACTTCTAAATTGTGTTTTCTTCTTAATGCGTGGTTAATGTTTCAGGAATAATTTTGTCTGTTGTCTTGAAAAATAGTTCATAAACATAAAATTCTCCATTAAAGATTAAATGTATGAAGATGGAGCATTGCAGATTTGGAAATGGTGCCTTGAATCTTTCTGAGCATGCAGTTACTAAAGATTTCCACATAGGATATTACGTTTGATAAATAGAGGAACTTGACTTTAAAGCCCTAAGAAAAATCACAGTCTAAAGCAAATGAATGTAGTATGGACTGGGGGGTGGATGTGTGTGTTATTTGTCTTTCTTTTGACAACTTTTTTTCTGATGGTTATAGGAATAGATGCTGCAGTCAGCAAACACTTTATAGTTGTGTGAAGACTTGTCAGCTGATCCTGAAGCTGATTTCTTTCTTTTTTGAGAGGTCGGTGATGTAAGAGCTCTCATAAGGGACTGTAGCACTTTGGCAATGGTCATCCGTGTTGTGAGGCTGGTTGTGCAGAAATACAAGGGATGCTGAAGTTGTTTAAATATTCTTTGTAGTTGTTTATTCTCTAGAAGATGCTTATGACATGGCTGACAGTTCTAGCATGAACGCAGTTCTTGCTATGTATTAATGTTTTGATGAACTGAAAATCGTGATAATAGCGCATGTATGTTTTTGCTTGTTTGGGTGGTTTGCCCTTTAGCCATGGACTGAAATGTGGGTGCCCTGACGTGCGTCACTAGTGCTTTCTATGTGTTACAAGTTGAAAAGCCTGAGTCCTCAGGGACTAGTTGTTCCTTTTACTGACCTGATACGTTCCTGTGTGACCTTTATTTAAATATTAGTTATTCCTTATTGTTGTACAACTTTGGATAATCGACAGAATTAATTGATTGTGCTTAGATCTTTGACTTCCTGGGTTTTCAGTGTTGAAAAGTGTTGGGAAGGTGTCATTTTCTTGGCTTACCTGGGTCTGTAGAAATTTATCACTGTTCCATTGCCACCTTCATGCAAGATCATTACTCTTCCGACTTCAGATATATTGAGGTTGCTGTTTAAAATCTCTTTGCTTTGCCTAGTAGCCATTTGGCAATGCTTGCTTTGTTCAGGCAGAAGAATTTCTCCTGTAACTCACGCAGCAGTGGATGTAGTAGAAGAAAGATGGTGGCTTGATTATGAAACTGTGTAATAATAAGCTTCCAAGATTATTTGGAAGCTTGCAGATCTTCTGGGTTGCATTCCTAAAAGTCACAAAACGTGTAATTCTACCTGAGCAGGATTTGTGATCATGTCAAAGCAAAATATGAGCTTGAAGTGATGATTTGAAAGTCTGTTCCTGATTTGAAGCAGCCTGCCTGCTTACTGTATGAAATTCAGTGCAGAACTCAAGCAGTTTATCTCTCTACACAGTGATCCACCCATACAAATTCCTTGTTCTATTAAAATGGAGCTTGCTTTTACTTAAGTTTTCCAAAGCTGAAAGTTTCTTAATTTTCTTTTGCCTGTTGTCAAAAATAAAGCCCAGTTTTAGGATCCTTAGTTTGCAAAAGTATACTACATTTTATTGATGAAGTCTTGTTTTGATTTTTCAATTCAACTCCAAAACATTCTTAACTTTTTACTCATGAATTGTTGCCTGCTGTCATTTCAGGTGGAAAGTGCTGCTGAGGAACCCAGGGTGCTGTGTATAATACAAGATACCACAAATTCCAAGACGGTGAACGAGCGTGTTACCTTGAACTTGCCAGCTTCCACACCACTTAAAAGACTGTTTGAAGATGTGGCTTCAAAAGTGGGCTATGTGAACGGAACTTTTGATTTAATGTGGGGAAATGGAGATAATGTAACTGATACGGTATGGAAAAAGTGCTTGTTATTTTGTCTTGATAGCAAACATTCAAATCTTCACATTATAGACAAGTCTTACGTGTGTTGTGTTCATTTGATTCCTGTAAAAAGTTGTGGTAGTGCACCAGAGCAGACTGACACCACTATTTTAACTTAGCTGAATTTTGTTTTGTATTGTATCTGCATTTTAGTCGCAAAATGTGCTCTTAATTGGTATATGTGTTTAATCGGGAAACAAACTAATATGATCATTCGGATGTAATGCTAGTTTTCATTACCAGTATGTATTTTTAATAATATCCATGATAACTAATCTCCTCTTGTTTCCCCTGGTCCTTTTTGAGAAATGTTTTCTTCTCAGCAGAAGCATGCTGTGTAGTCAGTTTTCATGTTTCTTAGACCTATTTGAATTTACTATATGCAAAAAATTATTACTTCTGTGCTTTATTGTGAATCAGTGTTGGTTTCAGTTAATATGATTTCTGTAGGTGCACCTAGTAACCTTTGTAAGATTCCCTAAGAAATAGACCTTTTTTAAAAACAGTGTTTGGTTGTTTGCTTTTTTTTAGCAGACTCCAATAGATCAGAAGAGTGACAAAACTATTCTTGATGCTGGTTTTGAGCCAGGGAAGAAGAACTTTCTGCATTTGACAGACAAAGATGGTGAGCAGCCTCATGTAATGCCGGTAAGTAAAATCTTCACTTCACTACACAAGCTCCAGTGTTGTGGGGAAAGAGACGGATGTTCTGTGTATTGCTCTTGTGAGATCAGAAAATAAAATAAAATTGGGCTATATATTTCATGCAGTAAGCTTCTTCAGGAACCTTTTCAACAGACTTTTAGTCTTCTATTTTACACTACAAGGTTTCTTCTGAGTAGGACCAATCCCATTAGCAGTGATTTGCTGTCACTTTTTATTCGTGTTTGTCAAATATTATGTAATGCTTTGCTGTGAGTAATTTTCTAAGGTTATATAATTAATTAATCTTTGACATGTTTTGAGATAAGTCTTAACAATACAGGTTTAATCATATATCTATTCCTTTTCCTCTGGGTGTTTGAAAGCAGTATGAGGCCACTGATAGAATTCTCAGAAGCGGCAGCCCTGTTACCTGCTGCCAAATTTACCTTTAAGGAAAAAATAAATATATAATAGAAGAGTTACTGCCTGCCATAACAAAATATTTGAAATTTCTTATTTCTCACATACATGATGCAGTGAAAAATAAACACAGCTGCAGTTTATTTAAATTAAGTATTGGATAGACTAGTGATACATTAAGATTTATTACTCAGCTGTCATGACAGCATAATACTGGCCTACTTAGCCTTTGTTGTGGGCATCGTTATCTGTAAAGGGGAAGAAAACTTGATGTTTAAATAATTGTGCACAAGATCAAAATTTGAAGGTGATTCTGAAATAATACTGAATTGTAATTTTTTTATCTCTGGGGAAAAAAAAAAAGGTATTTCAGTGCAGAAAACTTGAGATATAGGAGTTGCTAAATTGCAAACTTGGTTGTTGTATGCATTATAGTACTGTGTCTGCATTCTAAAGGGCAGTTGCTTCCACTAATGCAAAGAATTATTTCTTAAGGGGATGAGAATTTGGAGGGCAGAATTAAAGTTACACAAGCAACTGTATATCTGCAATTTTTAAAAATTTTATGTGATACACTTAACAAAACTGATTTCTCAGCCATGAGAGAAACAAAGTAAAATTTGTAGGTGTTTCAGTAAAAATTTGTTGTCTGATTTTTGCATAAAATCAGTGTATTTATGTTTTCAGGAGGAGTCGAGTACAACAGATGACAGTGTGCAAGACAGATTTATAGGCCCTCTTCCAAGAGAAGGCTCTGCTGGCTGTACCAATGACTATGTCAGTCAAAGCTATTCTTATTCTTCAGTCCTGAGCAAATCGGAGACAGGTACAGTGTTCTCTCTTGCAAAGGCAATGCTAATCTGTAATTATTTTAGCATCTTCTTCAAATAGCAGCACTTAAAAAACCCCCCACATTACTACTACATTTTCCATCGTGTTTCCTACAATATTCTCGCATCACTTGAGGAACGGAAGAGCTGTATCCCATCCTTTCCTTCCTTGGGACAGTGCAGTTCAGACACTCTGTCAGGGGCCTTCCTTTTCAGTTTTAGTCTGCTCCTGTGTCCCTAGCTGAGTAGTGAGCTTGTACTACCAAAAAGTGTTCGCCTCAAGCTGTGTCTTCACTCACAGCGTAATGAGTACTTGGTACTCTGTTATAGAGGGGCTGTTGCCGAATCTCTGCCCTCTGCGTGTTAACTGAAGCTTTCCTACTGCAGGCACTGGTTGCAGTTCCTCTGCCTGCCCCGTGATTCCCGGGCGGCTCATGCTCCACCAGCGAGGGCAGACTCCGTCTGGGGGTGAGAGGCAGCTCTGCCTCGCAGCGGTGCCAGGGCACGGCCCAGGGGGTGCTGGGTGCCACCCTGCGCAGGGGGGCAGGAGGAGACAGCAAGTCACAGGTCAGGAACGAGAACAACTCCTGACACTGAATTTGGGAGCAGACAAAGATGACATTCATCACACCCATTGATGTGTGTTCAGGCGTTTTTTTGAGAGATAAGAAAGTTTTTCTGCCACGTACCTTTTTTCATTTAATATAACTGAAAAGATGACTTGTATAGAGTAGAGAAATAAAATACGTGTTTTAACTCAGTCTCTTCACAGAAAATGCCTGCGTTCTGTGTGGAGTAGCTGCCTTTGCATTGATAGTACGGAACTGAGATTTAATGTTTTAAAAATACTAAGAGCTTCAGAATATAAACAGACATATTTAATTTCTTTATTACACTATGCTTCAGTATATGCTGATTAATTATATTGTTAATATTGTATATTTTTATAGTTACATTGTTAATACTGTGTATTTTGGAGAAAATGTTAAAATTTGTTAAGATGAATATAAGTAAATCCTTTAGCTAATAAAAATGACACTGATATTTAGTTTTAATTGGTTATTATGGGAGAAGGCTTTAAAAGATATATGTGGGTGCACTAGGAGGTTTTTATTTATAGTTCTGAAATTATATTACAAACCAATGCAGATAAAATTGTATTTACATTATAACTGGGATACTTTTACTTGGCGTCAGGCACTAAGTAACTTAGTACACAGTTGTTTCTTAAACTCTAGTTTCTTCTGTAAAGTGTTTAAATCTACTATTAAAATATTGTTACCTACATCCCCACTGGTGCAGGATTCAACATTAAATGTTGGTGGTTATTGCAAAAGAATTCACAATCCCTAAAACACTTTTGTGTTATTCAGGGAAACTAATACTGTTGTGTAAACTGTTACAGTCTTGCTCTCAGAAATGAGCCATTATAACTTTCTCTCGGGTTTCATAGTGTAAATAACAATAAATGATAGCAGTTGGATGCAGTTCTTAAATAAACATTAGTACAGAATTGTTTTCTTGTCAAACGTTTTAGCTCTGAAAATGATTTCCCATCTTTTTGCGTTATTCCATCTATTGTTCTTGTATTTTTAGGTTATGTGGGGCTAGTAAATCAAGCAATGACTTGCTACTTGAACAGCCTCCTACAAACACTTTTCATGACTCCTGAATTTAGAAATGCATTATATAAGTGAGTATATAGAATCAAAACCTGTTTTTAAATTTGTGCTGGTATATATTGGTAGGAGATCCTTTTGAATTCCTCCTGTCAAAATTTCCTTGTTTGGATACTGAAAAGCATACTCGAAGCCAAGTTGGATAGGCTTATAAATTATATCTGCTTAAAAGCTTCAGATTTTTAGTAAAATACTAATACTTTATTGGTTGTGGCATGGACAAGCTTTTTAAGAATTTGCCCCATCTTGCAAACATCAAATTTGAAAGTAAGTTTGATACTAAGTGCGGTTCATGTCTGTATTTGTGCAGTGAACGTCTTCAGAATTATTTTGTTTGTTAGATTTGTACATTTAAAGAATAAGTTGTCATTTATTCTTGTCATTTACTGCAGAAGTGGAAAGCAATTTCATCTTACTTTTCCCAAGAAACAGAGCTTCAGTTAGCCTCTAATCCGGCAGACCTCTTGAAATGTAGTAAAGGCTGATATAAATGCCTTTTTGAGTAATGTTTTCAAAGCATTTTTAATTGTCAAATGTCTTGTGCATAGATGGGAATTTGAAGAATCTGAAGAGGATCCTGTAACGAGTATCCCCTACCAGCTTCAAAGACTGTTTGTTTTACTGCAGACCAGCAAAAAGAGAGCAATTGAAACAACAGACGTTACCCGGAGTTTTGGATGGGATAGTAGTGAGGGTAATACGCAGCTATTAAGCTTGTGTGATTTGCTTCAGCAGCTGCCTGTTAGGGGCTTAAACTGCTGTCGATAGGGAAAAATACTGGAATAATTAAAAATAATTATTAGAATCAAGTGATTTCAATGGAAACAAAATAGCCTACATGGGTACTTTTGTTGTAGGTGTTTGATTTTTAAAGAAATTATGTCTGAGTTTTAGACTGTTAAAGTAAAAAGCATTATATTTTTGTGATTAAGCTATCATTGTGGTTGTTAATTGCTTCTAAAGAAGTCACTCTATGAGGAACTTGCATCTGGTTTAGAATCACAAATGTCAAATGCACATGTTTTACTTCGGTAGGAAGTAGTACAGAAAATTTGATAAAAATCAAACACTGTTTTTGTCTTTCTGACACTTATATGGTGTAATTTTGCTGCATAACCTGCTAATTGTTCCCTTGAGTAATCACATGATGGCAAGGAGTTGAAAATTGAGTTGTAGAGAATCAGCGCAAAGGGGGAAATGTGTCAGACCAGGTTATTTTATAACAGTGCCTACTAGCATTTCTGTATTACATGTTCTTATGTACATGTTCTTGTTTATGCATAATCATTGTGAGCAAGCTGGCTGCTGGCTTTTCTAACAGCTTCTGAGGCAGCTGCTTGTGGAACTGAATGCTGGACCAATAGTGAATAGTTTAGTAAATAGCAGGTCCAGACTTAAACAAATTGGTAGATTTTTGGAAATTATTCTCAGGCTAGAGTTGGCATTGGAGCTAATATCATCCATTGTTTTAATTAAAATTAATTTCAATTTCTAACAGCATGGCAGCAACATGATGTACAGGAGCTTTGTAGAGTCATGTTTGATGCTCTGGAGCAGAAGTGGAAGCAAACAGAACAGGTAAGCATATAAAAACTTTCTTCTGTTCTTTCAGTGGTGTGGTATTGTTGGGGTTTTTTGTTGTGGGTGGGGTTTTTTTTAAGAATGATTGTGAAGAACATTAAGTGATTTCTAAATCCCAGGTCATTGAAAGTCTGCAATAGTTGCCAGTTTTCCTGTTTGATGCAACAGTTTCTACTGTAATGTATGAATTTCAGGAGTGTGTAACTTATGTTTTCCTCACCCAGTTAAAAGTCAGATATTCAGAACTCTGGATACTTAGTCTTTATTTGAAGCACAGACAGTAATTGTGTAACTCCTGTGGTAGCTTCCTCACTGTATTGATTAGGCTGCCTTCTGGCTCTTGCCCACTATTCTGATGTAGGAGAGGGTTAGGGATATATTCACAATACATGCTACATTCTGGTAAGTGGCCAGCTGTCGTAGGCCAATCTTCAGGTCTGTAGATTGCCAAATACTCGCTTTATCGTTCTGCACCTACCTCTGGAGACAAGGAAGGACTGCAGTATCAATCTGTTAACGATGTCTGCAAGATCAGGCTTGTTTTTAAAACATAAACTTCAATTTTGGTAGTTTTGTAGTCACTCGTAAGACGTGACTGTGAAATGCACTGCGAGTCTTATATAGTGTGGTTTGAGAAGCTCGTTTGATACCTTTTGTGTAGTGGCGGGGCAGGGGGAAACAAGAAATCAAGAGATGGAGGTCCTGCTGGGAATAGTGTTCTAAATGTGTAGCCGTGCAGTTAAGGCTTAATTAAAAAAGGCATTTTCTTGTAATGCTGAAGAGTGGAAATACGTTCTGTTTCAACTGTTTAAAGCTTGGCGGAATATCTCTTTGTTTCAGGCGGACCTCATAAATCAGCTGTATCAAGGCAAACTGAAGGACTATGTAAGATGTCTAGAATGTGGCTATGAAGGCTGGAGAATCGACACCTACCTGGATATTCCTTTGGTCATCCGGCCGTATGGCTCCAGCCAGGCGTTTGCTAGCGTGGTGTGTACTATTATGCTGACTAATAGTGCATCCATACACACATAGAATACATAATGCGACAGTGGTATAATTTGTTACATGGTAAGTATCATCCTAGATACTCCATCTTGGGGTGTTCGTCTTTGTGCAGTGAACCAGCTAGCAAGTTCTAGAAGATTTTTTTTGGCTTTTTGGTTTATTTTTTGTTCTGTTTTTTTTTTTCTTTTGCCCTTCAATGAGTCCTACTGGTGCATGTTATAAGGGGAGGGGAAATGCAACTTTATTGCCTTAGGGCTGCAGTAATCAATTATTTTCTTCCTGATAAAAACTTCAGCACTTAATTGAGATATTTTTATGAGATCACTAAGTTTTATTTTGGTTGTTCTCTTTATTGGCACATCTGCTAAATTTTCATAGCGTTGTTGAAAAGCGTAGTGAAAGAAATTTTTAGTTTAATTGCCATGTTGTTGCTGTGCTTTTTAAAGTTCACTTCTGAAATACCATACGCTTTTAACAAGCAATTTAACGATAAAAAGTCCTATCATCAGTGTTCTTGGTCACTTTTGCTCCAACATTACTGATGTTGGCAAGCATATATATTGCTTAGTAAATCTGTGGAAGTTTTTTTCTGTTCTATTTTTTCCACCCCCCTGCAAAGAAGTGATTACAAACTGTGTAATACCACTGTTGTGGCTTAAAATACCTGTACTATGGATGAAGTTGTAAGGGGGGGGGAAAAAAAGACTAAATCAAACAAGTCTTTCAGTAAAGGTTATTTTAAACAAACATTTGTGTAATTGGCTTATCAGGATTATTTATTATACATAAAGTATTTTTCCTTTTGTACTTAGTATGCTGGCAATATTTTAAACACTAATGGTCTGTAATTCTTAACAGTAATTCTGTTAAGAATTGTTAGTTAGGCTAAACTGTAGCGTAGGTTCAAAGTACTTCAAACTTTAAAACTTTAAATACCAATATTGAGAAATAGTAAAGATGAGGGACGTTGATCTCACAATAAGGATTCAAGTTAGTAAAGTCCTTTGAATTCTTTTTAAGACTGAATGCAAATTTTTTTAGAACTATCCTGCTAATTGAAGCTGTATTGATACAGACTGATACTTTATGTAGATGGCTTCCCTTTTCACCTTTTAAAACTCATTTCTAGAAATACTATCTAAACCAAATTTTGTGGTAATTTCTATTCAATAATGAGAATTTTCTGATACATCAAAGTAATTCAGTTCATGTAGTTGTATTCCGCATTTAACAATGCATTGTGTTTCAAATGGAAATTTTTTTTTTCCTTTAGTCAAGCAGTCTATAGAGGAATGCTAAAAAAAGACTTTGTATATTTGTAAAAAAAGAGAAAGCTTGAACAGCTAAGAACCTGAATATCAGATTACTTTTAGTAGTATTTGATATTTCTCCTGTAAATCAGCACTTACTGGGTTTACTACATTGAGGAAAATAGTCTAAGATTTTTGTTACGTAGTTACATGGTTGCAGTTTGTATTGATGCTTCAATTTTTGAGCTTTTTTAATTCATATTCTGATTATATTCAGTTGATTCTCCTCCCTGCATTTGTATTACCTATAGCAGATGTAATTTTTAGTTCTGTAGTCTTCAACAGTGGGGAGATATGGAGGATACTTGCTTTTGGAGAAGGGAAAAATCGCCTGTTTCTAAATGGAATTCTCTGAAGGTAGTATCCTCCATTGATCCGTAGATGTTGGTGATTTAGTAGGTGTAGGTAAAAGGGTATGAGTGAGAGATCAAAAACTTCACACATGCGCTAATAGGGCTTATAGAAGGGAATGTAAAACTTTTTAGACCTTGCTAGTCAGCTCCTGAGGGAACTTGCAGCAGGCGACACAACCCAAGATAGGGGATCTAAGGAGGATACTACCTTCAAAGAACTCTAGTTAGAGGTAAGTGATTTTCCATTACTTTCTAATAAGAGAGAATGGATGTACAAGCTTTAAGTAAGGTTAATCTGTAGAATGCCACATAAAGTGCATTATCCCACTGTTCGACATTGTGTACTACCAAAACCATGTAGATACCTGAAATGTTGCATTTATCTATAAATATGTATGTATTACTTCTGAATACACGGGAACATTGAAGAACTGGAAAGGATAATGTTATGCTTCTTAATTTCCTAATACAAACTAATTCTGAAATTCTTTGGTATGTTTTTAAGGTTTGCATTTTGAAATTTTTTTCTGATTCCCCGCTCCGTCCCCCAAATTGAAGTAGTAAAACTATATAGCTACAAACTCATTAGGGCAGCTCAGGGGCACCGAGATCTTGTCAGTACATGTATCTCAGGAGAGTTTCTGAAAAAAATGTGTTGTCGAAGGGCATGGTTTAAAAAAAATCTGAGTCAGTCTCTTCTTGAGGTGAGTAGAAATACAGACCTAAAAATACATAGTTTATTTCAGGGAGGCGAACAGGAGCAGCAATTCACATACTGATTTTTGTGGGTATTAGTGTCTTTTTGTATACATGCCTGAATTTAACAGCATTAGACATAAGCAAAAAAGATTTTTCTGACTGCCAAACATAAAAATTTTGCAAGATGAAGAACAGCCAAGAGAAGGGTGTATGCGATGGGGAGCTAGCTGGCATGCTGAAATTATGTTACTGGAAAACAGTGGAAATTACTTTGTAATGCCAGAAGACTTGTAGTACAAGTATTCTGGGGATGGAGCAGATACAGTTCTATTTTGTTAAGTGTTGTTACTTTCCACTATCTTTTGTATGGTAGCTTATTTTTTTTGAGGGTGTAAGTATGCATATGAGGAGAGCATTTTTTGGCAGAAGTCAGTCTGGACTTCTCTGAACTTGGTGTCTTTGCCAAACTTAAACTGTTGAAGGTAGCTAGAATGTGGATGGTGTGATATTTACTTCTAAACTAAATTGGTAATAACAAGGTCTTGTATTTTTAGTGGAGCATATTCTTTGGGACATGGGAAAACTGAATGAGCTCTGAAAATCTGATGGCAATTAGTTTCTATTTTTTTCCAAGAACAGTTTTGCCTAATTGCTATTTATTGTGTAACTCTTCATAAAGGTTCTACTACTCCTGTTCACAGGTTTTACAAATTTACACATTTACAAATGCTTGCAGTAAGATACCTGTTAAACTACTGACTATAGCATAATGCGTTTTTGTGGAGGAGTGTGTGTCCAAAGTGCCTATCTTTAACCAGACAAAAATTAGTTTGAACTGTTTGTTGTGGCATTTTAGCATGCTAAATTTTACAGATCCCATAATCAGAACATTAAAAACTGGCTGGAGAAGGCTCTGGACAATGTGCTTTAAGTTGGACCCGCTTTGAGCAGAGCGTTAGGATCGGATGATCTCCAGAAGTCTCTTTCAGCCTATATTGTTCTTTTGATTCCATGAACTGTAAAAAAGTTTAAATAGCCTTTGTCATACTAATCTATTGCTTGATCATTTATAGTGTATTTTGAAGTGTGTTGTGAATGTTGGAAATGCTTGGTAGCTCTAAGGCTACATAATAGTTACCTGTGTAAAGATAACTTCAAAGGTAACGCTTACGCTAAAAGTAAAGTTGCACAGAAATGGGGGATGTCATGTGATGGGTTGTGCAGCATAGAAGCTTTGTCACTGGTTTTGCTGAGTAAACTGTTAGAGTAGAAAATGGTGAACTGCGTTAGAATAGGAATTGTATTAAGAAACATCCTGATCAGCAGAACTAACTTTGGTGTAAAGATTATGTAGGAGAAAACTGGAGGAGACACAAATGGGTAAACCTGAGGAATGGTGATGTTCCTTACACAGGGATTGAAAAACACATGGGTATTCATATAGCTCGAAAATAACAGAGTACTTGAGTTTTAATCGGGTTGTTCAAAGCACACCTCACTATGTGTGGTAAGCAGTGAAACCGCAACAGTAGTGTGATAATACTTCATTCAGTTCCTGGGGGTCTGGAGGATCATTGCTTTTTCCCATTTATAAAAAATTTATCTGTGTTTTCTTGTTAAATTGCACATCACATGAGTCTGCATAAGCATTACATAATCATTTATGTCCCATCATTCCTATATTCCCATTTGTTCATGTTGATGCATAAATTGCAACTTTTTTCTTACACTTGAAATGTATTTTTATTGCCTTAACTGGTCGTTATGTCATGCTTTCTATGTTTCATGTTTTTCATGTGTCAGTTATTAACTTTTTTGCTTTCATTTAAATAGTTCTGATTATTAATTCCTTAACTAATTTACAGAAAAGTCAAAGTGCAGTAATCCATTTCTTGCCTTTTTTTAAGCAGAGTTAGAATGTAGTCTTCTTTCTTATATTTTAGAATTAGATCCTCACATTTTAGTGTATAATCCTACTGAACAGTAGCTGTTTGTTGCCCTCGAGTAAAAAGAACTCAGCCTCTGTAGTGTTTAGGAAGTAAATACATAGACAGCAGTTCAGTTCAGAGTCCCTAAAGTGTTCTCACGTGCCTACAGAGTGCTTCTCAGAGCTGTGATTTCAGGGCTCTTCCGAGACTCTTCTGCCTGGATCCAGAAACAGTGAGGTGACTGCCTGCAATGGACAGATCTATTCAGTTTGGCATCTTTCATTTATGAGGGGTAGTCACTGGAATACAGTCATTTCTTAAAGACTTCCTTTTCCTAAAAGAGAAGAGAGCTTTTGTAAAACTTTTTTTTTATTATGGTTCTTGCTGCTTCCCTGAGTTCTCAGAAAGGGAGAAGGGAAGAATTGGAGGCTTTTTGAAGAACTAGACATATTGATTTCCCCCCCAAGTGTGACTTATCAAACAACACTATTTAAATAGCAGTCTGAAGCTGTGGCAGCCACATGATGAGTTTGCTCTGCCCGGTTAAGCCACTTCTTAATTATTCAGACTTGAGGTAACAGCTATAGTCCCTCATAAGAGACGATGATTTTAAAAGCATTTTCTGTTCATATTCTTTGCTTTAAGCAGAATATCTAAATATGCAAGTTGTATTTATTTTCACCTCCACAGGTGAACAGAGCACGTGTGGGTTCCCCTTGGAGTTCAGATACCCAGAGCCTATTGGCTTGCAAGCTGTCTGGGGTAAAGGTTTCCACTGTTACAATCTCTGGGAAAAATTCTTGACCAAACCCATCTCAATATTCTTGGTGAATTTTGTTTGAATAAGTTTTCTCTCAAGTATATATGATTTATGTGCAATATCATTGTTGCAAATTATGTTGGGGGAAGACTAATGATTGGTTCGGTTGTATTTTGAATATTGTTTGCTGTGGCGAGGAGGAAAGCAGAAACCATTGAACTGCTGGATTTGAGCATTAGTGACAGAACAGGCAGCTGTCACAGGACAGAATTCCACTTATTGGTCAGTTGCCTGTACACTAGGGAGTGAGTTCTGTCTTTACAGGAGATGGCCATGTCTGATTCTCGCCCCTTTTGGGGTGAAGCTCAAATATTCTCCGTGTGTCCTCACCTTTCACTTGGAAGTAGTTATCTTCAAATGTAGTTTCTTAAGTCCCTCTGCAGAATGGCACTCAGGCTGTCTTCAGGCAGGGCACTGAGGCATTGAGTAACATTTTTTCTGCCACCTCCCCACCTCCACTCCAGTAATTATTGGGTGGTATCTGTTGGGGAAAAACTCCTAAGATGCAAAACCATCTCAAAATTCTGGGAGAACAGGGTCAAAGCAAGGTTAAAAAATAAGCTTGTTTTCACAGCAGTTGACTGAACAGACATGACTAAATGTGATGTGCAAGGTAACAGGAGTAAATGTCATTTTATATTGTATATTTAAGACCGAGACAATTGGGTTTCTTCAGATACTGAATGAAATACAGTTAGCAGTAATTGTGGTTTGACTGTTTAACCTTGGGCTGGGTAGAAAGGTTGACTTCTCTTCGTAGGTTCCGGACTCTGTGTCTGTATCATAGTTCATGTTGATCAGATATTGGTTGTAGATTTAGTTTAAGTAATGTGAGTGTGTTTGCAATTTCATTGTAAATTTATCATTCTGATCTATACCTACAGAATAAACATTCTTTAAAAATCAGGTACCATTTTTTTGTTACTAGGAAGAAGCACTGCATGCTTTCATTCAGCCTGAGATTCTCGATGGCCCCAATCAGTATTTTTGTGAACGGTGTAAGAAGAAATGTGATGCAAGGAAGGTAAAGACTGTCCAAATCATTTGTGAAAATTACTTTTGGTAAATAGCAATCCTGACAATGGTAGCATAATCTTGTCTTTGCTTCGTTTAGGGTCTGCGGTTCTTGCATTTTCCGTACCTGTTGACATTACAGTTGAAGAGATTTGACTTCGATTATACCACTATGCACAGAATTAAACTCAATGATCGCATGACTTTTCCTGAGGAGTTAGACATGAGTGTCTTCATTGATGTTGAAGATGAGGTAAAATGTTTGGTTTCAGAGAATAGTCTTTAACTTTTGTGAAGTTTCTCATTAAGAAAATTTAAATGTTGGTCTAATAAACCCATTTTAACAACCTAATTCATCTACATAAAATATTCTTCAGCAATGGCAATGTTTTAATTTGAAGTTCTTAAATTTTTCTATTTGAATTTTTGTTGTATTGAAAATGAAGCAAGTTCTCTAATCACTGTAGGGTATCCATGCGGCCATAAAGAAGCTGTTTCTGATTTCTTGAATTTTCACACAAGTGATTTAAAAGCACAACTCTCAGGGTTTCTACATATACTGCAAATCCAGAAAAAAAGATACTTGAACTTGTGTCTGAATCTGTTTTGGTCACAAGAGGTGATGTAAAGTTTTGAAACTGAATGCTGAAGTTAGTTCAGAAAACATTAAAGTTAATTCCTTCCCTCTGACTCACAATGTTGTGTGTGCTATAGAAATGAGAATTTTAAAATTTTATTTTTCACTTCCATCTTTTTTGGCTTTTAACTCTTCAGGCTTTGGCCAAAATTAATGTGTAATTACATTCGCCAAAAAGTATTTAATGTGCCTTGTGCACTACAGATTCAATTTATTCCTCTAATTTCATTCCTGCAAACATTATGTCACTGCTGGCTTGTAGTGGTGTAAGAGAAATACAGCATTCATATGCCTATGGAGAGGCTTTTCTGACTCTATACAAACCTTTGTTTTATGAAGTATGCCAAATAAGCAATTTGATACCTCTCAAAGTGTTTCTGGGGGGGCTAAATTAGAATGAAGATTGATCTGGGAGAGCAGAACTTGAGACAAAATTAACAATTGTCAGAAAATCTAAAGAATTATCCTGAGGAAAGAGGATCAGGTAAGAGATGGCTATACTGACTTGTACTAAATGAACTGCATTCATAGTGTTGTTGACATCATGCCTTTAACCTAACAGAACACTGATCAGTCTTAGTGCAATACCTTGATGCTGTCCAGTAAGTCAAAATGGCATAAAGTCTTTGACTGCGGATGAAAATATTTCCAGTCAAATCAGTTCTGATTAACAGGGTCATGTTACAGTAGGATTTGTCATCTGATACTAGACTTCAGGTATTTAATTGAATTAACTAGTAAATAGAATAGGCTAGTAACAGATATAATCTTGTCAAGTATGATACCAGGTGATTGCTATTCAGTTGCACGCAAGAGCAGAAGCTGTTGATCTGAGAGCGGGACTGAAGACAGTTACTAACAGGAACAAGTCTGTTCTCAATGCTGAATTGCCCATGTCTCTAGGTTTTTGAGGAGTTTCTTTGTTTTACAGATTGGAATTTTTTCATTTCACAAATGTAATTTCTTGTTCTGCGTAACTTTAAATGTCTTATTAGTATGTATGTCTTATTTTTAAGAAGTCTCCTCAGACTGAGAGTTGCACTGATAGTGGAGCTGAAAATGAAGGCAGTTGTCACAGTGATCAGATGAGCAATGATTTTTCTAATGATGATGGAGTTGATGAAGGAATCTGCCTTGAAAGCAACAGTGCAGCAGAAAGAATTTCTAAAGCTGGCAGTGAAAAGGTACGTTTAAAAGCATGTTCATAGCAGCCTGTAAGGTGCTGATTTGGCTTTGTCACTAGAACAGTGTTGACAGCCTGCCAGAGCGTTAACTCTTGCTGAACAGTGTTGCATAGCACCAGGGCTTTCTCCAGTTCTCATTCTGTAAGAGCTAGGGGTGGACAGGAGGCCGGGAGGGGGACATGGCTGGGATGGCTGACCTGAATTAACCAGAGAGATACTCCATGCCACGTTCCCTGCTCAGCGGTAAAAACCGGGGGCTTTCCAAAGTAGCTGTTGCTCAGAGACTGGCTGGGCATTGGTCTGCTGGTGGGAGGTGGTGAGTAGTGCCTTGGCATCATTCTGTAACTTTTCCCCCGCCCCCCTCTTTCCTTCACTTATTGAACTGTCATCTCCAGCCACAAATTTTGTCACTTTTGTTCTTGTGATTCTCTCCGCCATCCCACTCAAGGGGAGGAGCGAGTGACTGGGTGTGTGCTTAGTTGCTGGCCACGGTCAACCCACTACCAATGTAAATAATAAAAATAATTGTGTTACTGGGGGCGGAGTGAGGAGGTGGGAGCGTGTGTTTTTATTCAAATTCCAAAAGTTGACACTACAGCAAATGAAAGCATGCAACTGATCTGGAGGTCACCTGAGAATAAAGGTTTTCCCAGCTTGTCAGACTGAGAATTCCCAGGTAACTTGTTCTGGCAGCAGACACTCAAATTGAAGACTGTTTTGTCTTGTGAGCAGTGGTTTTTCCTTGAGGCCAGCTGTCGAAGGACTTCCAGCTTTGGCTGCAAAAGCATCTTAAAGCTTAGTAGCAGAAGATTGGGCAGTTTGACCAGTCTTTGCCATCCATTTCTTGTCCTTATAAAACCGGTCATATAGATAAGGCCGTGTGACAATGTTAAATACTCATTCAGTCATCTTGAGTGAATGTAAAGGAATTGAGCAGCAAGTCAGTCTGGGATAGCAGTTACCCTTCTGTGGGACATAAAGCTTAGCAATGATCTTAGAGAAACTTGATTCAGTTTTCTTGCCAGTGCAAAATTAATCCAAAATCTTGAGTTTTATGGTCATGTCTACGATGTATACTTCATGTGTCATTATTCAGTGAACTCATCTAAAATTTGGCCAGTAGCTTTTAATCAGACTTGTTAAGAGGCTGGTTGTAACTGTTACTTTCATAAATAGTTAAAGGCTGACTTGTATTTTAATCTGCACATCTGTCCCTGTTTGCATTTACCTTGAACCATTTGAGAGGGGTTTTTGAGAAATGTTTTGAATACTGTCAATCTTAGCTAGAAAAAAGAAAGAAATTAATAAGATAGTCACTTGATTGGGGCAGGAACAGAATGTTGTAACGTACACCTTGTCTTTTCTTCTTGTCTCCCCAGAGTTCTTTATTGTATGAGCTCTTTTCTGTTATGGTTCATTCTGGAAGTGCTGCTGGTGGCCATTATTATGCCTGTATAAAATCTTTCAGTGATGACCAGTGGTACAGCTTTAATGATCAGCATGTTAGCAAGGTAAAACCAGTATATTTCATGACCTTGCGTCCCTACAGATGAATCAATATGTTTTTATTTTGCATGTGATTCTTCACTTACATACAACGAATCTGGTTTTATGTGCAGGTATTTCAAGCCTTCCCTTTGTTTCATCTTCTCATCCTAATGCCCTGCCATGTACATATGTCTTACTCATTAGCTTGACTGATTTCTAGGGGTTTTATTTATGCATGCATTTTGTGCCTTGGCAGGGAGGAGTGTTTCTTCTTGATGGTGAGTAGGGGGGTGGTTCATAAAGAAGCCTTTATTCCTGTACAGACCAGGCTGGATTTAGAATTTTGCCTTCTATACATGTTGCTTAGAGAAGTGTATTTGTAGATCCATTACAACCCAGACTGTGCTGTTAAATCTGTCCTGATGCATTTCAGCTGTTACATGTACCCATAAATGTTATTGCTATAGTCAAGGACATCAGTATTGTTTTTCTAAGTAATTTCCACTTTTAAAAGAAAATTTTTTTTACATTCATTGTGAAATGAAGGGGCAGATCACTTTGAAACAAGTTTTTCCTAATGAGAATAAATGAGTCTCAATTAGCACAGGTTTCTCAAATAATCATTAAATTGGTTTTTCTGTTAGATAACTCAGGAAGATATTAAGAAAACATATGGTGGATCTTCTGGAAGCAGAGGCTATTACTCCAGTGCTTTTGCTAGGTTAGTAGTGTTGGAATACTACTCTTCTTTCTGGTGGTGTTTTAATGTAATCAGATTAATGTGCTTAACGTGTTACCTTAAAATTAATAGTAGATGCTTCAAATAGTTATAAAATCTATCCTGGCTGCTGTGTCAGATTATTATAATTTATGATACTTACTTTTGAAAATCCGTTTTGGTTAGTGTATTGTTAAGATATATATGGCGTAGCTCCTTACTGAAAACAAAACAAAGCAACCTTTGAGGTATTGTCTTCCACCTGATAAATTCATAGAACTATTCTTTTTTTCCACCAGCTCCACAAATGCATACATGCTGATATATAGACTGAAAGATCCAATGAGAAATGCAAGTAAGTGTGTTTTGCAGATCCTGTCTAGCACGATTCTGTTTGTAGAGTAAGGAGATATTTTACATGTGATGAGTACTAATTTTTGTGAGGATGCTGGTATTGGTATTCTATGGGTACATTAAAGTAAAACATGCCAAACCCATGTTTAAATCTAAAAAATGAAGTACACTGATTTGTATTTTATCACATATAGATTGTATGTTGTGACTTTTATTATCAGCTAATTCACTTTCTAGACCAGAATTCATATTACAAAAGCAGGCTCAAGTCATTGGACTTGGTGTATTTCTTTACACCAGCAGAGCTTCCCTTACTGACACTAGAATATTAATCTTGTGCTAATAGCATTTTCTTGTGTTGCTGATTATAATTAGGGGGAATCAAAGACTGACTTTGGTTTCATTTAAAGTGTGAAAAAGAGAGCAGAACATGGTATAGTGGGAAATTTGGGTGGAGAAGAGAGCAGGAAGAAGGCAAGAAAGATTATACCCATAATTCCTAAGAAGTTGCCCACTGTGGAAAAATCTTTGAACAGTATGTTTTTTAAAACTGATGCTTTGTTTTTACTGGCAGAGTTTCTTGAGGCACATGAGTATCCAGAGCATATTAAACAGTTGGTACAGAAAGAGAGAGAACTGGAAGAACAAGAAAAGAGGCAACGTGAAATCGAGCGCAACACTTGCAAGGTTAGCATTTCTGCTGAATAAAGTAACAATACATTCCTAGTAAGAAATGTTTCTGCAGGAAATAGTAATTTTTTACTACAATGCAAGGACTCTTTTGTCTTAAGTGTATTTGTATTAATTCTTTAAAGCTAATTGTACACCTTTTGGAAGCCTATACACACTGAAGGCATCTATGCAGGGTATTCCCTGTGAATTTGAATTGGTAGTAAACCCCAAACTATAGTTCATCTGACATCACTTAATTTCGGCAAAATTAATTACGAAGAGTATGTAATGCTGTATGTTAGGTGTTTCATGCTGGTAAATCTTTTCATATTGTGACCCTTTGCTTTGTGAAGTAATGTTTCCTAAACTAATTTAAAATAGCTACTTGACAGAAAGAGTGGAATCTTTTTCCAACCCTAGATTCAATAGTAACAAACAAAATATGACGTCTGCGACTTACGAGCATGGCAGTCAGCTGGCCTACCTGTGAGTCAGGTTTCATTAGGACTTTCTCTATGGTTGCAAAATATGTAACTGTACGTGAAAAAGGGTTTTCACATTCATTGTTCCTGTCTGCATTTTGTCTTGGAGGATTTACACACTGCCTACGCTTTAAAGATGTTCCAGTTACAGATGTACCGTAGCTTGCAAAATGATGTAGATATACGTATATAGATAGTAGTGTTATGGACTGCATTCCTTGACATTTTCTATCTGCAGTTCTGTAGCTAGCTGAAAGGAAACCGTCCTATAACTGATGTAGAGCTGAAGGTGTATATTAATTTGTTTGAACACAGGGCTGTAAATTTAAATGTACTCTAATATGAAAGGCATTATTTGCAAGTACCTTCATGATCACTTTTCTTCCTTCTGTGTTTCATAGATTAAGTTGTTCTGCATGCATCCTGCAAAACAAATAATGATGGAGAACAAATTAGAGGTTCATAAGGACAGGACACTGAAGGAAGCTGTGGAAATAGCTTACAAGGTATGCTGTGCATAACAGAATAGTTTAAATTTTAGATGTCACTTCTTCTGTTGTGTCTCTTCAGCTTTTAAATTTCTAAGGCTTGTGGGACACTTTGGGAGCAGTTGGCTGTGGGATTTTTTTGTTGTTGTGGATTATTTTGGGGGGGTTGGTTCAGGGTATTTTTTTAAGAAGTCTTCTAGTTGGCAGTGATTTGACTGAGTTTTCTGTTAGTAGTCATCAGGTGATTTCTGACTGGGCTGATACAGCCTGCCCTTCAAAAAACACTGTTTTTACATGCCCTTATTTTAAAATCAGACAGCAAGAGCTGATGTTAGACTCACCATAGCCCCAGTAAGTTGAAAGAATTCTGAACACTAATATTTTTATTGCAGTTAAAATGCTGTATTAGGTATGTAAAAAGGGAATTTTTTCAAGAAACCTCCTGCACAGCTAATACAATAACATCAGTGGGCACTAAAGCATCTGTTGATCTTTGCCTTCCACAAAGGCAAGAAGTTGAAGACATCTATTCTTGCTTTCCTACTTGTACTTTTTATATCTCGCTATATGTGTCATTGGCTGGGAGAGTACCAGCAAGGCAGTTACATATTTGGAATGTGTTAACATCTTGGGATGCATGGAAGATAGTGGCTATGACAACTTTGGGCCCCTCTAAGATGCCATCTGGTATAACGGGTGGGCAATGTATTTCTCTGGGGCCTGTCTTCATGTGCTTATATGCATACTTGTCGAACTTCACTCTCCTCTGCGTTTTAATGCAGGCTTCTCCGGATTTTGAAAATGTGTAAATATATTGCCTGCATGCGTATGTAATGATGTATGAGTGTGTTTTTTCTAAAACCAAATCGAAATTTGTGAATTCAAAGGATTTCTGGTTATACACGTACTGAGATACTTCTTACAAGGGAAAAACTAAACTCACAAATAAACCATTACTAAATGTTTTGGGTGGGGTTTTTTGTGTGCATGATTTAGCTAATGGATTTAGAAGAGGCTGTTCCTTTGGATTGCTGTCGTCTTGTCAAATATGATGAGTTTCATGACTACTTGGAACGATCTTATGAAGGAGAAGAGGATACACCAATGGGTTTGTTACTTGGAGGTGTCAAATCAACGTACATGTTTGACTTGCTGTTGGAAACAAGAAGACCTGACCAAATTTTCCAGTGCTATAAACCTGGTGGTAAGACATGTAATTACATCTAGACAAGGATAGACTAAAATTGTACATTACATGATGGCATAAAAATAAAATTTGTAAAAACATAGAACTTCGTTATGGTATGTGAAAGGAGAAAAACTTTGTATTAAATTTTATGAAGTCAGTACTCAGAACTGTGTACTGTGCTGTGTTGCCAACTTGGTTCTAATTGAAGTAGTTCTCAAGTATACTAAAATTTGCCACACTGTGGAACATTTTTGCCTCTGGCATTAAACTTGAAGATGAAATTCTGAAATTGGACTGCTTTTCAAATTCTTTACTGTCTGTATGTATTTAATGCTACCTCTTAATCAGTACATCAGTACATACAATCAGTATCTGTGTGTTGACTGTTGAATTTCCTCTTTTTATAATGTATATATGTGATTTTGTTTTCTTTTTTCTCTTCCCTGCAGAGGTCATGGTAAAGGTTCACGTAGTTGACCTGAAGACTGAATCAGTTGCTTCTCCAATAAGTGTACGAGCCTATTTGAATCAAACAGTTTCAGAATTTAAACAGCTAATTTCAAAGGTAATTTTCAGTCATTAAGGACTTGCATTACAGAATTTTCATTCATTGTGTCATAATTTGAATATCTAAAATGAGACCCTGCACCTTTTGTAGTTTGTACTGTGTCGTGCCCAGTAGGGTTAGGTTAGTTGTTAGAGTTGAGCTTGCCTGCTCACTGCAGCAGTCTGCTTCTTGCTTCCATCCAGAGTTCTGCCCTGGCTTTTGCACAAGCTTGGCCACTGTCTGGCCATATTGCTCACTAGCTTACCAGATAATAATTTTTGCGGGGCAGCTGAAGAGTCGGGTTCATTTCCTTTTGGGTTAGTAACTTGAACCACCTCACTGAGTATCCAGCCAGTGGCAGAACTAGTGAACTGTTGCCATAACTGAACCAACATGTAACTTCCCCCATTGGCTTCAGTAATTAAAATTTAACATCCAGAGCTGCCCATGTTCTCCCTCCAAACCCTCCTTTTCATCCCAGCAGCCACCTAAGATGCAGATTGATTTTTACACGTTCTAAAACCATGGGATGTTGCTGCTTCTATTGAATTGGAAGACGGACATTTTACTTGGTCAGTTCTGTGTCATGTAGTTCAGTGGTTGGTACAACTTCATAATATTTGTTATGAAACATGATTTCAGTAATTTGAATTGTCTCATTCAGATTTAAGTGAATAGTGTGCAAAACTTGATGGTCAAGAATAAGTCTCACTTTCAGTTGGTTCATACCTTAAATAATAAGAGTGAGCCCTTATATTACTGGTCATTACCAGTTTGCCAGTTCTGAGCAAAGCCAAGCCACTTGGGTCCACGGACCTTTTGGAAAAACTAACATGTGTTATGTATCAAAGGATGGCGCAAAGAAAGTGGGACTGAACAGGTTTGGGAGGTTTTCCCTCACATTCTTTTGCAGTTTTTAATTTAATAAACCTTCTTTTCCTGTGAATAAACCTTCTTTTCCTGTGAATAAACCTTCTTTTCCTGTGAATAATCTCAAAAAATGAAATACGTGTTCCAGTATTTGAAATTCTGTATGACGTGCACGTTACCTTATTGCCAATGTTGTCTTTCAGGCTACGCACCTGCCCGCTGACACAATGCGGGTGGTATTAGAACGTTGCTACAATGACTTGCGTCTCCTGAACGTTTCCAGCAAGACACTGAAAGCTGAAGGCTTTTTTAGAAGCAACAAGGTACATACGCTGGGTTTTAAACTGTTCATTTCCTGTATTTCTAGACTTCAGAGGTAATTTAGAAAATTGGCTCCAATCTCAGCCAGGGCCAATACAATACTATGGGCTCTATGTGAAACCAGGTGTCCGTAGCAAGGTAGAGCAGATCTGAAATCAGACATCTGGTGGATGCTCAGTTGTTCAAATGATGGTAGGTTAACAGCCTTTACGATTAAGATTTTTTTTAAAGTCAACCCTTCTCAGGGAACAAAGGTTGGCATGTTACTGTGAAACCTGCCTCGTTTGTTTTCTAAACCTTCTGAACAGCTGTGCCTGCTCTCAGCATTAAAGTTCTTAAATGTCAAAACTAAGACCAAGTTTTTGGGTGGGTTTTTGTCTTAATTTCAGTAATTTTTACTCTGCAAATTCCTGCTAGCCTAATTAATACAGTTTTTTCCGAAAAGACTTGTAACAAACGCTTCCAGTAATAGTTGTGTAATGTATTCCAAAAAGGAGTAACTTCATACTTAAATAACATCTGTAGCATTGCCCTCTTTACTACAGTAATAGCACATCTTTTAGTGCATTTTGCACATCCTCTGTCTCTGAAACTTAAGCTCAAGAACACACTACCCTCGGTGAAGGATTTGATGGCTTGTAGCTGAGCAAAACAACGGCCCTGGCTTGTCCCTCGGTTACTTCAAGCCCTTTCACATTGACATTGTCGCTACAATGGAGTGGCCTTTGATAAAGGGAAGAGATCAGTTTGTTCCCTTGTCTTCTACTCTGTGCCATTGCTTACCCAGGCATATAGCTAAAGATTTCTTAATTAGGATGCTATGGTGGAAAATAAAGACTGCCAGCTGTAGTTGTGAGGCTCATTACTGCCAGTACTAGTGTTCGTGTAGAGGCGAAGAGCGCACGTGAAGTGATTATAAATACACTTGTGGACATAAGAGTTTAGTGCAGCTGGTCAGTCTGGTTACAGTTCACTCCAATCTTAACATGATTATGAAAATAAGGAAACTGAAATCATTATTACAGACTGCTTAGTCTTTTTCTAAACCTGTATTTTTTTTATAAAAGGTTACTTTTCTTAGTGACATAATTTCTAATGTATGCTCAAACCGATCTGTTTGCTGTTGTTGCTATTACTTTTTTTTATTCAAAATAACACTACATGATAAAACACTGTTATTTTATGTTCAGGTATTTATTGAAAGCTCAGAGTCTTTAGATCATCATGTGGCATATACAGATTCTCATTTATGGAAACTTTTGGATCGTCATGCAAATACAATCAGACTGTATGTTTCATTACCAGAGCAATCACCTGGATCTCAATTTAGACGAGCAGTTTATCTGAAGTCTAGCGGAGATTCAGGCAACTTGGATGAAGCCTGTGAAAGAGTAAAAGGACCTGTAGGTAATATGAAATCTGTAGAGGCAATTCTGGAAGAAAGCACTGAAAAGCTTAAAAGCTTGTCCCTGCAGCAGCAGCAGGAGGGGGATAATGGAGACAGCAGCAAAAGCACAGAAGCCAGTGATTTTGAAAACATTGAATCACCTTTAAATGAAATAGACTCTTCAGCATCAGCAGAAAACAGAGAACTTGAAAACCAAATTCAGATTTCTGATCCAGAGAATCTCCAGTCCGAGGAGCGGTCGGATTCGGATGTAAACAACGACAGGAGCACCAGTTCAGTGGACAGTGACATCCTCAGCTCCAGTCACAGCAGCGATACTTTATGCAACGTGGACAATGCCCCGCTTCCCTTGGCTAACGGACTTGATTCTCATAGTATCACGAGTAGCAGGCGATCAAAAGCAAATCAGGGGAAAAAAGAAACCTGGGACACAGCAGAAGAAGATTCTGGAACGGATAGTGAATACGATGAAAGTGGCAAGAGCAGAGGAGAAGCACAATATATGTACTTTAAGTCAGAACCCTACACCACAGATGAAGGTTCGGGAGAAGGGCAAAAATGTATGTATTTAAGTGCCTTAGATAATCCAGCTTTTTATTACCAATTAATTCACATGCTGTGTTAAAAAGTCTAATGACAGTATTGAAAAGCTTGATTCTATGTCATATTAAAGCTAATGAAAGTGCAAAGATGGATCGTGGTGTCATGTTCAGCAAAAGTCTAGCCTGATCTTTCTTCACCTTGTAATAAGTGATTACATACTTGAACAGTGTCTTGCTTTTTTTAAGAAAATGAAAAGCTACCTCTATGATACATGTTTCCTTCTGTCGAAAGCTTTTTCTGGCGAGCAAGCTGAGCTGTCTTCCAGTGAAAGGGTAGTAGTTGCATCTGATTCACCTGTTTCAGCATGCAGTTATTTACTGTCATTCACAGAGCAACGTTCTGTTAACAGTTAGGTTAACAAACTTGAAAATTCCTAGGCATTTGTCCGTGAAGAAAATTCAAATCTACTTGATATTGATCATCTAATTCAATAGGCTGTTGCTTTTCGCTGACTGAAGTACAGAGGGTACAATGAAGTGTATGGCTGACATGAAAGTGTCCAAACGAGTGCAGTCTGAGAGCATTAAGTACTGTCTTCACTGTCATAAAGATAAATCCTTTAAACAGTGCTCAGTCCCTGCATGTGTTTTATAACTAACAGAAGAATAATTAAAGAATAGCATGATAGAAGGTAAATATTTGGAAAGGCAAAGGTTTTCCTGTCAATCCAGAAATCCTGATGTAATAATAATAGAGTAAAATCTTTTTTGCTGTGTTTTTTTTTTTCCTATTTCTGTGAACAAGTATTTTCTTTTTTAAAACCACAGGGAAATCTAAATGCAGCTGCTAAAGTTTTACTAAAATTACTCCTTGAGCCTGACAGGATCTTTCTTTGGGGTTAATCTTGAACTACTTTAATTTTCCCTCTTTGGTAGAACTAGTTGGATAAAAAAATTATTTGTTTACCCTAATTTTGACACTTTCATAGTAGGCTGTATAAATGGTTATCCTGAGGGGAGAGCTTTCATGTGTATTCAGTATGACAACATGAATGGATTTATATTAGAATAATTTTACTTGTTCAGTTAAATATTCTGAATAGGAATTCTTTTATTCTGATGAGTCACGACACAATATAATACTGTAGTCCAAATTACATCTATTAAGAAACACAATTTCTAAAGATAAACTAATCACTTTACCTTCCAGAATTTCTTATTACTACAGTGGCTTTTCCTTAATTACAAAATCATTTCATGAAAAAGTCCCTTAATCTAGACTTGAGCTTGCTTTGTGATATCTTGTGACATTCCAGAACACAGAATTAAACAAAGTTTTTTGAACCTGAAAGCCATCAGGAAAAAAAAAAAAAAAAAAAAAGGAAAAATGTTTGGTGGCATGTGCCTAGCCAGCCCCAGCTGAGAAGCGCTCCTGTCTCTCCACTGAGGTTATCTGCAAACGCTCCATCTCATTCTCTCTATTGGTTGTTTTACGGGATGGAGTACTTACTACTTTGCTCCACTACTTCACTGGCTGCAAAATAGGGAAGTTTGCAACTGCTGTGTCTTCCAGGAGTATCTGCCCATAAACGCTTAAAATACAGCAAAGCTCGTAATGATCGCAGTATCCTCAGATAAAATGTAAATGTGGGCATTAACTATGTGTCTGACTTTTCAGTACTATTTCACTGCAAGTGACAACTGAATATATGGAAATAATATACCAGAGTACTTCTTTTGGTAGTGTGGTGGCTTATGCTGGTTTTATCTTTATTTTTGTTTAGGGCTGATGGTGCATGTTGATAAAAGAATTACACTGTCTGCCTTCAAGCAACATTTGGAGCCTTTTGTTGGAGTTCCATCTTCTCACTTCAAAGTCTTTAGAGTCTACGCCAGCAATCAAGAGTTTGAGAGTGTTCGACTGAATGAGACCCTTTCATCATTTTCTGATGACAATAAGGTTATTCAGAAGTTATTTTGAATCATTAAAAGTATATTGGTACAATATAGACAAACTTAAGATAACGTACAACATTTCTGTAACTTGCTAGGTGAAATCATTACAGTAGTCTTGGTAGCGTGTTACAAAATAGAGTTCTGGTTTTGTTATCAGTTCTAACAGATCCACCTTTTGCCTTCTAGATAACTATTAGACTTGGAAGAGCCCTTAAGAAGGGTGAATACAGAGTCAAAGTCTATCAACTTTTGGTAAATGAGCCAGAGGTAAGGGGTTGAATATTTCAGGACTGAAAAGATTAATATGTGCCTTGGCCAAGGTTTTTCTCTGAAATCTGGGGAAAAATATTAAGTCACTCTTTTCTCTGCATTTTCCTGCAAGTTTTCTTGCATTTAGAAAGGGAGTTTGAGCTTATTTCTGTTTATGCTGTTCCAAGTATACAGTTGGGAGTGGGGGATCTACATATCTCTCTTAAGTGTCTCTTATTTCTGCAGTGTAAATGGAGGACAAATGAAAATAATTGTTTCTTTGTTTTCCTTAAATGTATGAAGTCGTGTAGAATTCTTTCCAAATCAGAAAGTGATTTTGCTCATGGTTGCAGTTTTCAGTAATGCTGTACTGATATAATTTGTCACATCCATGCACTGCAGGCAGTGCTTACCAGAACTGTGAACTGGATAACAGTCTTTTCTCCACAGTACGAGCCTGAAACAAAAATGCCCCTCTTGCAATAGCAAGAGTACCAGCTCACTTGTTACATCTTCCGGGACACGAAAAGTATACAGATAATTCCATTATATAGATTTGGGTCTTTAAAAGATGACTTTGGTGCATCTTCACTTCTGCTTTTTTGACCAAACTGCAGAATAAATATTAATGGATAAGCATAAGAGACCAAAGCTGAACTGACAAGGCAGATAATTAAGATCAATTTAAAAGTAACTTCCAGTCATGGGAGTTCTGGTTTGTCTGACCAATGAAAGCCAAGAGAGTGGCATCTTTATTATCATATGGCTTATTTAAAAGCTCCTGTCAGAGTGTTTAGACTGTAAATAGTAGCAATTACATAGACACAAGACACTATTTCTGCAGTGGCAGACGCAGAATGTTTGACCTGTTGAGAGCTGCTGCTGCACAAATTACCTAAACATAATTTAAATTCTTTGCCTACCTTCTTAATGAAAAGCATTCTAATGGTCATTGTGCTGGTTGGATGGGGCTGGTCACAACATGAACAGGAGGCAAATCTGCTTTCTTCTGTTCAGAAAAAAGGTTTTTAATAATCCTCTCTCCGTGTTCACAGCCGTGCAAGTTTCTTCTAGATGCGGTTTTTGCTAAAGGAATGACTGTCCGACAGTCGAAAGAGGAGCTGCTTCCTCAGCTTCGAGAGCAGTGCGGCCTAGACTTGACAATTGACAGGTAAGGAGACTGCAGTACGTTGAAGTTACCTGATCAGATGATATTTTAAAATGTGGTTTTAGGGTTTTTTTCTTTATGGAGAAAGAAAGTGGTGAAAGGAGCAGAAATAAGTTACTGTGGTCTTTGAATCAGATTGTGAATACAAACATTGATTTAGTGCAATTCTTGGCTTTCATCTCATGTAAATTGATACAGGGAATAGTATTTATGTCAAATTGCCTGTGTGCAACATGTCTGCAGGTTTAGATCTGAGAAGTCTTATTCTCCCTTACTATGTAAGGGGGATTTCCCTCAGAAAGGAGAGCATGGAGTACATCAGTTGACAAAAAAGGCCCCTTCTGTCTAGAGGCAGGCCCAGTGCAGATCACTGCAGCAGACTGCCTCCTGCGTTATCATGGGGTTCAGGAGGCCTGCAGATTCCTACAGACACGTTTGTTTTTAAAGTCAACACAGCTGTTCAGTCATTGAGTGGTTTCCAGCCAAGTGTGACAAAATGCTCATCTTGTGTAGTGAAGTGCTAATCCTGGTGTGGTGCTGTGTTCCCTTTACCCATAATCCGTTAGCTGAGCTCGCTCGGGGGCCTTGGTTCACCATACTCTTGGTTCCAAGTGATGTGGTATTTACTGTGGCATAGCTGACACTGTACTCACTGGAATTAAGAGGAACTTGCAAGATGTGGTAAGCAAGCTGGTGGGGCCTTGACGTATGCCTAAAGTCAGGCTGGAGCAAAACACTGGAAGACAAAACGTTGGCCCTTTCCTGTTGAGACAAGGAGTAGAAACCTACATCTAGCCAGGTTTTATCCTTTCCTCACCGACTGGACCAAGGAATTTTGGCTGCTCTGCCCCTTGGTTGTGTCCTCTAGTGCTGTATAACTAGGGTGCACAGCACAAAATTTATGCCTGCTTTTGTTTGTGGAGAAACCATTACGGTTGAAGTTTTGTACCCATGTTTAATCTTATTTTAGTTCTTTATACCCTTATCTATCTCCGTATCTAAATCAAACCTCATGCTTTTGTATTGTGACTGGATTGGTGCAGGAGAACTAAAACACAATCTTTTAATCCTCCACCTCTTCCTTTCTTCTCTACTTCCCCCTCAGAGGAGGAAAAAAAAAAATAAGGGGGGGGGGGGGGGGAAAGCAGCAAAACTGTCTGAATTGTTTGGGAATACTCTGTTTTCCTATTCTAAATAGGAAAGTGTTTTCTTCCTCTAAATCCCTACGGATTTCTTGCAATGAGCAAGCAAAATACAGGCTTGTTTTCCTTATGATTATGAATAATTCAGCACTAAGGGCCAGGAGTGATAACTTGCTGTCAGGACTATCTCAGAATGTTAAACTCATTCCTGATAAACCTAACCAAACCTCATATAATTTAGTTCTATTTCACTTTTTAAGAAAATACTCACTTTTGTTCTCTGACAGTGGTTAAGTGTTTATGAGCAGGTAAAAACTCCATTTTCTTTGTGATATATTTACAGGTTTCGCCTACGAAAGAAAACGTGGAAGAACCCAGGCACTGTGTTTCTAGATTATCATATCTATGAAGAAGATATCAATATTTCAAGCAATTGGGAAGTTTTCCTAGAAATACTTGAAGGTAATGATACAGTTTAAAGAGAAGCTAAGGAAAATGTTAGAGATATTTTTCTTTAGAGAACACCGAAAAATTAATTTTTCCTTTTTTTTTTTTTTTTTTTAATACTATTACTGACATTTTAATAGCATTTTATTAGGGGGAAAAAATAGAAGCAAACAGAATTAAAAAGAAACGCTCTGCATGAAGGTGGGGGGGTCAGATCGTGCAGGAGCAGATTTCCTGTGGCTGTGCTGTGCACAAGGTCTATAGCAGCACTGGTTTGTGGGTTTATTGGCAGCGTTTTGACAAACTGAGTACTGCAGGCACGTTTTTTGCATGTGTATGTTTTCATTGTACATAAAATCTGCAGGAATACCTCTATGTTACACTTTTACTGTATTTTGGACTAGTATTGGTGATGTTTGTACTTAGCTGATATATATCTATATGTGTGTATATATACATAATACATATATAATTTAGTTTTAAAGTCACCACAGCTGTTCAGTCATTTTGTAGTTTTCAGACAAGAGTGGAAAAACATCTTTTGTCACGAAGTGCTAAATTTTCGAAAAAGACCTTTTTCATCAGAACAGATTTGGAATCATGTTACAGAGCAGATTGTTTCTTAAGTTCTTAAATATCATTCTGCTTAAATATCATTAAAACTGTGGCATTTCTTAAGCTATTCTTTGCATATGCCCTTAGAAGCATAATTTAAGGGGAAAAAAGTAAACCAAGCTGTTTTTCCTCTAGATTAACAGCAGATTAAGGCCTTTTTCCTCAGGATTAAGGCATTCCACCACCACCATTGATTTCATCTTGTTCTTCAGCTAAACGCTGAAGACATTAGGCAGGTAAATAATGCAATTTACAATCATTTACAGGTAAGTTTCTCAGCATAGTAGCTTTGCATCACACTGTTGCAGGCATATTTAAATTAGTGATTCTCTGCCTCTGAAGAAAATTTGCACAATTGCTTCAGACTTGAAATAAATGCCAGGAAGCCTTGGGTGGCTGTATCTTCATTTTGGACAACAGTGTTGGGAGGTGGCACAAATGTAGTCAGAGGCAAGGACTGTAGAAGGTATTCAGGGAGAACCTTAAACAGTGGTGGTGGTTTCATGCAAAACAAGCGTGTAATAGCGGACACAAGTGTTTAAGCCACAAGTTCTTCATGCTAAATGACAACATTACAGACTTATTTAAAATAAAATTAAAATGAGCCCTTTGATATCACTTCTGCTTATCTGATTGTAACAGCATTACCCTGTCAGCCAGAGAAAGCTCTCTTACCTGAGACTGATCTAGAAAGGCTGGGGGCAGTACATACTGAAGCTCTTCAAGGGCGCAGGTGTAAAGCTTTAATAGTAAGCGTGTAGTGAGTGTGGGAAATACAGAAGTGGAAGGTGGGAAGCTTATTTTGGCAAAGGAAGTGAAGCACCTGGATAAATACCAGATTGCTGAGGAAGGTCTCGTGCCGGTGCAGGATCAGGAGGGCAGCCTCTGGTTAGGGGGGTGGATGCTCTATGTGTAACTGAGCTGGGAGTGATGGAACAGTGTGCCATAAAGAAGAATAAATGGTGTGGCTTCCAAGAGATGCTGCCTGTGAAAAAAAGAAGTTCAACTAAATCCTAGCCCATGACACACACTATTTTTATTTTTTTTTTCGGTGGACCACTTGCAGCACCTTTACTAGGTTACTTAGTTTCTGTATGTAGTGCAGCCTTCCGTATTTGAGTATGTTTATGCTATGGAAAACCCCCAGTTTGAAACAGGATGTTTTGTGATGTTAATATAATACATTTCTCTTTCTTTCCTAGGTGTAGAAAAGATGAAATCCATGTCACAGCTTGCTGTTCTATCGAGGCGATGGAGGCCATCAGAGATGAAATTAGATTCTTTCCAGGAAGTAGTACTAGAAAGCAGCAGCGTTGAAGAATTAAAAGAGAAGGTAAAATGTGTAACATGATACGAGTTTCTTGTGATATCAAAGAGCCTTATTGATGTTCTCTGTTGGGAAGCCTAGAGATGTCACAGCTGCAAAAATCTTACTGCACTGTGACTTTTTTCCTCTGGAACCGAGAACCTGTCTTAGCCTATTGCTAAAGCCATATGAATTACCAGCTTTACTTCGTAGTTCATGGAATGGTCTGGTATCAAAGTATTCAGGCGAATGTAGGGGGAAAAAAAGTCATACTTTGAAGTTTTAAGAAGCATAATGTTACCTGTGTCGCTTTCCTTAAAAAATGCATGGGAAAGAAAAGCTAAACTTTTGTTGCTTTCTGTTTTCAAGCCAGTATTTAGATATTCCAAAATACCAGACCTTTCAGCCTCTTCATACTTGAATTTGAGAGCAGTTGCTGAGGGACAGTGCAACTGCACCAAGTAGGTTGAACTGTGTTTTCATTGGAAGGAAATACGGCTTTGGTATGGTTTTTTTCCTTTAAGGCCAGAACCCTCTAACAGGGTACAGTCCTGGCAGAAATCTAGAGCAGAAGTGTCTTGTATTGAGGCTGTTTTATTCATCCAGTATATCCAGGTTCCACTCTTGGGGAAATGATTATTTCTATGTGGCAGTACCCAGATGTAAGAAGGCCACCCTGGATGTTGAGGACAGCAAAAGTCATGGTGTCTGCCAAGCCTGCCAGAGTCTTACCTTACTAAAACACTCAGCTTTTGTAAGTTGGGGGTTAGTTCATAGCCTGGGCAGAGGAACATTGTTCAGCTACTGCAGAACGCAGCAGCCTGGGATTGTGTGTGTACACAGACTAAGCCACGAGCTGGCTGCTTGTGTTCTCCAGGTAGAGATGAAGTTATGACTGCAGGTTCTTGCTTGCGGTCTTCAGGATTTCCTCTTCACTTCTATCTGAAGAAAGAGTTGGCTGCTCTTGTCTCTTCAGAACTGATGTGCAAGGAGCAATGTTAGCAGCATTCTCCCCGAGAGGCCTTAAATCTTTTTACTCCCACCAGTAATAAAAGAAACTTGAATTTGACAAGTAGTAACAGATGTGTTCAGCCAGCTCTTCTTTCAGACAAATGTTATTAGCAGAGTGTAGGGCTAATACATTTCAGAATTTGTCTGGCTTTTGTCAGTATTGTCTATTTGTCCTAGTTTCCTAAAGAAATGAGAGTTAGAAAGTTACACTGGCTGTTAGTCTTGTCGCACCATCAGTTCAATTTGAACACGTCTGCTTTAACAGCAGATTTGAAAGAGGCGAGAATCTTAGAGAGGAAATCTCTCCAAGTGTTGGGCAAATCAGCAGCCGGAGATAAACACAAATGGAAGTTGGTGTCTGCATTGCCCTGGAGATGAGCCTGCAGCTGGCAGCGCGGAGCCGTGCCGGGGGGACACACTCCTGCCCGGGGGACTCGCCGGGGAGGAGCAGCAGCGCTGCCGGGGGGTTGCGGGGCGGTTGCGGGAGGCAGCGCAGGAGCGTGGGGAGAGATCTTTGCGCTGTGAGGATCTGCTGGCTTTGCCTGCCCCCAGGTTGCCTGGGGAATAGCTTTTGTTTTGTGCTGACTGATGGGCCCGACGGCTGCACGCGAGGCAGCTGGTCTCTCTGTGTCTTGGAACTTGGATGTTCTTAATTGCTTCTCTGAGCTTTTTGCTGTCACCCTTCGCTGTTAAGAGAAGTGTGATGAAATACCGTCATGGCAGGTGTAGCTTGCCACACGCTAGTAACTTTGAAATATAAAAAGTTCCTACCTTGTCACTGTAACTTTGTACTGATACTTTGGAGGACTTCCAACTAATAATAGACTTTTAGATTTGGCAAGTTGATTGACTTTCTATAGACACTACCTAACGTTGTTGTGGACTACTATTAAATCCACCATTTTTCTTCACTTTACAGCTGAGTGAAATAAGTGGAATACCCTTAGAAAACATAGAATTTGCAAAGGTAAGTAAGGTTTTGTCTATTTTTACCTTTTAATAGCACGGATGTGTGATTATGGGTTTTATTCACTAAATAACTGCTTTTTCTCAGGGTAGAGGAACGTTTCCATGCGACATTTCCATACTAGAGATTCACCAAGACTTGGACTGGAATCCTAAAGTATCTACGTTGAACGTCTGGCCTTTGTACATTTGTGATGATGGTGCAGTAATATTTTATAGGTGTGTATATTATTACAGTATAATACACCATGCAAAAAATCTGTGTATAAGATGGGGGGGGGGGTGTGACATAATCAAATGAAGCGTAAAAATACTCTTCTGTTGTCTTAAAGAGGGTTTAAAACACTGAGATGGAATGTCTGTGCTCCTCAGCCTCCTAAAAACCTGAATATTAATGATGTTTGTTGCTTAAGAAAACAAGCATTGCACCCTTTTACTCAATCCTCCCTCTCAAAAAACTGAAAGTAATGCTGAATGCAAACACTAGTTGCTATGCTTGAGTGTGTATCTGGATTTCACCTCTTCAAATAGAACTGTCATTCCTTGTGGAGTCAGAGTCTTGCCATGGGCTTTAGAGAGCAGGGGTTTTACTTTCTGAGTTTATTCCTTTGGGGAATTAGTATGGCTCCTTTGGAAAAAAGGATGTTATGACAGAAATACTGTTACCATTGAAAAGGTTCATCATCTGACGGCAGCAGCCACAAGGTGGTGTTTGAGGACTGAGAGCTTCAATATTGTCATTTCTGCTGAAGTGGGTGGGTGGGGCAGCCTCATGAACACATTGCTCCTACAGTATTTTTCATAATTACATGTGAGTTTGGGGGAAACAGCTGGTTGAGAATGTGATGGCCTTGAGAAAATTATTTGGGAGAGCAGCTGGTAGTTCCTAGGGTGTTTTTTTCCAGTTTTCCAGCTGGCAGCAGCAGACTGAATAAAGCGCAGAGCTGTAGTTGTGCCTAAAGAACAGGAGTTCCCAGGTTGACGGAGGAGTGTGGGCTTGTCTCCTGCTGCTTTCCCTGGGCCTGCTCTCAGTCGGGACACTGAATGTCTCTGTTAGAAATGCAGCTTCAGACAGATTGTTAGTTTCTGGAGAAGAAAATCATCTGTAAGGAGTATTATGCTTAGTTGTGCTTGTTACCAAGCTGCTCCAAGTGAAAAAAATTACAGAAATCTTAATTATGGTTATTGTATTAATCTGGATTTTAACCTATATTTACCTTTTAGGGATAAAACTGAAGAATTAATGGAATTAACAGATGAGCAGAGAAATGAACTGATGAAAAAGGAAAGCAGCAGACTCCAGAAAACTGGACACCGGGTAACCTACTCTCCTCGTAAAGAAAAAGCACTAAAAATTTATCTGGATGGAGCACCAAATAAAGATTTGACGCAAGACTGATACTCGCTATAGCATTTTCCCTGGGGAATTTTTTTGTTTAAAATAAAAAAGGTTCACTACTACTGTGTAGTGCCATTACGGCAGGACATTGATTAGGTGTAAAGCGCTGACACCAGCACTGGTTGGGCCGTTACCAGCCAGCAGCGCAGTGCCCCCTCGGGTCACTGTTTGACTTGGAATCATGTTGTGCACTATAGTCAAATGTACTGTAAAGCTAAAAGGGATGTGCAAATAAAAGATTAGAACTAAAAAGTGGGAGGGGAGGGAAACGAGTGGAAATTTTTGAGGACAGTGTGCACATAGTAGCTAGTGAAACTAGCCTCAAACAGGATACTCATAGCTTAATAATAAAAGCTGTGCAAAGGCCATGAAAGAATCCTTTTTTCTGTTTGTTTCACTGATACACGCATTACCTCATCAGAGAGTCTGGAGTAAACGTTAACGTGTTGGTTCTACAAAAGCAGCAGCGAAGGAAGGGCCGGAGAGGAAACGGAAGTGCTGCAAGTGCAGGGTGTGAGAATACTCTTCCATGGACCAGGTAGTCTGAGAGGTGTCTGCAGAAAGCTGCCAGCAGGTGTTGGTTCATTTGGCAGAAGTGCTGTTGTAAGGCAAACTGGTTTTTAATAGGTTACAGAAGCCGGAGAGCAGCTCGATTATATTGCGTTCAATGTGTAAATAAAACCTGCCCTGTCCATTTACCAGAACCGCAGCTCAGCTATTTGCCATGGTATTTCTTTTCACATATCAACATTCACTGTGTACATTTGGAAGTGTAGTTGCCTATTTAAATTTGTATTCATTTATGTTTGACGATGCTGGGTACTTTAGGGTTGTATTTCCCCTTGTTAATGAAGTTTTTGTTCAGCTCCTTTTTGTACATTTTGTTTCTGAGACTATTACGAGTTTGCATCTTCTCCACCCACTGGAAGTCATTTTATTTTTCCCAGAGTTGGTTCCATAGCTATATGTAGTTGGATATTGGGGCAACCTCTAACACCTCAACACACAAACTCGGTAGTTCAGGTTGTGGTGCAAAGAATGATGCAGTCAACATGATTTCATTGCAAAGCCTAGGAACAGCAAGTTTTTGCTTTGGTCCGTGAAGATCAATAGAGAACAATTCTCCGTAGTTTTTGGAAAACCACCTAATTTATAACAATCAAAAGATTTTGGTAAACTTTTTCATGCCAGATGCTGTTTACAACAATGAACATGCCAATAAAACATTTGTTCATTCTGTTGTGTTATTCTAATCATTAAATGCTGTGGCTTTTATTTGAAAAATTATGGAATTATTTCATGGAAGTAGAGACTTTCTGAAGGCAGTGTCAGCACTGTAAGGCCGTGTGTGTGCGCACGCTCACGCGTGTATGCAGTATTACAGGAAGGGGTTTAGAGCCTGTCTGCTGCTCCTCTTTTTACTTATTCATGCTTAATTTTTCCTCAGCTATAAGTTTCCTTTTCCAGAACTGAATTTCTCACCAGTGAAACTTCAAAGCTCCAGCTGTGAATGGCAGATCAAGTTCTGCGCCAGAGAGGAAAAAGGATTTTCAATAACTGAACATTCAGTTCTTCCTTGCATGCTGTCCCCCAGCAACCTGAAAACCCCGGGGGCTCTGGCAGCCGGGAACCAGGCACTGCGCAGAGGATTCCCCCTCCTGTCTGACCTGGGCCGCCTCGGCCAGCCGAGGGAGGTGGAAGCAGGAAGCATGGAGCGAGGGCCAGCCAGGAGGTGGAGTTCTCCACTAAACCACCATTTCCATAGTCTGTAGGCTACTGAAGGATCCTTGGAGGTTTTAAAAGAGAGAAAAAAGTTAGCTATCAAATGGGTCATGAATTTTCTTTGAACTTGGACATTTGGAGAGGCAAAAATCTAGAGGTGGAATAAAGTAGAGTTGAGAAAAGAATTCCAATAACTGCTTGCTTAATCTCTAGCCCTATTTGGGAAACTTCCATTGAGAACTACTTTGAAGAAGTTCATGTTACACCTGTGAGTCTTGGCAGAAATCTGGCTGGAGGACTGGGGCATCCTTGCAATGATTTCCTGACCAGCACTGCGCTTCCTTCTGCACAAGTGTACTGGGAATATATTCTTCATTGTTCTGGGAGACATTCTTCAGCATCTGCTTTACGTTCTGATCATTTCAAACGTTTTTGAGTTTTACCATGGGCATTTTAAAGAAACAAAGAGCCTTGAGTTTCTAATTTGCTTAGCTCAGCAGAAATCTTGCTGACCTGATGAAATACTAACGCTTTATCTTTCAGGGATTGTGGCATCAAGAAACTGGAAGGGAGAATAATGCTGTCCTTAAGGAGGGTGGTACTTCCTGACAATTATTGTGCTCATGGGGTATTTTTTTAATGGGAAAATTGCAGTGATACTGAACTCTTTCTATAGATGGGCTGTCTCTAAAGCACAGTAATTTTATTAGGGATGGAAAGGAAAGGTGAATTCAGTGGACTCAGCGTATGTATGTGTGCATGTGTTGGTGTGAGAATTGGTGGTAGAAATAAATTCTTAAACTAAAAGACTGTTCTGATGAAACTTACTTCCTATTCATAATGATAATGTTTAGTAACATTAATTCTGGTGCCTAAGGAATTTGTTGAAAAGATTTCATGGACCAGAAGTGGTGAAAGACTTGCAGGATAGTGGCCCAGTCTTCTTAGCAGCTCTTGTTAGGTTATGGGTGCTTTGCTGTTCCAAATTAGACACAAGCAAGTAGGGATTTTTTTTGAAGAAGCTTCATAAAAAGTTACTTGGCTGGAGCTTCCTGTCACTTTTTACCATGTGCAGTAACAGGGTGAAATCTGTACCCCAAAACCATTAACAGTGAAAGAGCCATTGTAGCAAACTGCTGGGACAGCTGGGAGCTGGGGGTTCGGTGGGTCGGATTTGACTCTTAGCTCGCTATTGATTGCTAAAATCAGTGACCTGTTACGATGGCAATGATGATCACGTTTTGTAACACATTTACACCCATGAAGTGTATTAAAAGCACAAACCACTTCTCAAAGAGTTTTCTCTGCATGTACTGGAAACAAGTAGGAAGCACAGGTCTCTACATGCAAGAAGCTATTTAGGTTGTCTTACTGCTAAGCTGGACTAATGAATTTATGTTCACTGCCCCCATCTCAAAAAGTGTAAGTGATGTGGAGTAGAGTCAACAGATCCTTTAGCTGACATGGCCCAGGAAGGTACGTTCATGTAGTGCAGAGTGCTGCCGTGCAGCTGGCACTGTGTTTGGCTCTAGCTTAGGCACAGCCTTGCAACTGCGCTGTTCTATACATCGATACTTTATCTATTCAGACTACAACAGAGAATTCTGTGTTCTACCCCAGTCAGCTGGGATACGCCTTGCCCTTGGGAGACAGACCCCCGAACAGCCAAGCTGAAAGTTCCGATATACAAACCAGTGTGTTACAGACACCTAAGCGTGCATGCGATTTGGTGTTTGTGTGGAAAATGTGGTAGGCTTGTCTTGACAGTATGTTCCTCATGGAGTGGGGGAGGCCAACAACCCTTGCAAATGGAAGTGTAGAACTCAAGGGATGCTCTAGCTGTGGCACACCGGTTCTGGGTACCCTGAAGGCTGCTGCAGGACAGGTGCCATCCCTCGGGCCCGGCCGGGAAGCAGCTCTGGGTACATCCAGCTAAGCAGGTGAGCATCCTTTATCTGTTCTGTCCTTTCACGGTGTGTGTGGTGGGGGTACGTGACACCTACAATTATGTTACAGTTTCACTGATTATATTTTCTAAATAAAATTTTTAAAATTGCTTAAAATCAGCGACTAAACCAGTCAAAGTAGATGGTTCTTACCCTAGAAAAATGAGCGATTCTAAACATACGTACTTCAAAGTCACTTCTACAGTCACTAATAAGATTATTTATGCTTATTTGTATTTTTTAATGAGTACAAGTATAGATAAGTGATGTACAAGGGGAAAGTTCTAATGCAGAAGAAACACTGATATATTTGTCTTTGACAGAAGGTTTGGTCGGGGATTGAAGGAATTCAGCAGCAATTTGGACATGCAGGTTTGGTGCACAGAAAAGGATGCTCACTGGAGACCTTGTTTATTGCACTTCTATCCAGCAGTATGTGTTTAGGGTTTACATAAGCAAGACACTAGACAAAAATTTCTAGAAATAACTAAAGGAAACTGTTTGGACTTTAGATTTCATCTCCCAAAAACAGGTCCTGAGCTGAGTCAGGCTCAGGCTTCAAACCTGCTTCGTCCTCCAGACTTTCTAATTCTTGACGCACTTCCTGAATCACACTGCTCTCTTCATAATCGGAAAGAATATCCCTGGGTATCAAGCTGAGAAATGGCATCTCATCCATGATTAAGGGATCTTCTTTTTCGTTATTCCTGGTCTCATTGGCAGACACTTCACACACAGATGTAGTGCTGTGGCTGTTGGAAAGAGACACATCTGGTTGTAAAGTACATCTTTTCATGTTCTTTTGCTAGCTCCTTAATAAAATTCTTCCTGCCTTCCCAACATGAAAGCATGTTAAATGTATAATACTGTCAGATCTACCACAGCTGACTTGATAAACTTCTGATTTTTACATGCTTGACAGCTGGGGAGTTAAAGACAAGGCTTCCATATACAGAGCTAGAATAAAGATCCTAATAGTAAAAAGTTTGATACTGGGACACAAGATGGCAGTGGACTGCAGCACAACCTCGCCCGTCTACCTACAGGCACTCATGGTGATGAGCCCTTTCTCTTCATGTCATAACACCAAGTTAAGAAATAGGATACTCCAGCTTAAAGGGAATGCAGAAAGTTGTTTGCCATCAAGCTATAGAGTTGAGAAAGCTGTGAGCATTATATATCTGGTTCTAAACAGGACAGTGTAATAGCTGTCTTTATTTTGAAAAGGAGCTTCAGTTGGGTTTTCTAAAATGCTTTTAGTTCAAAACTGAAACGACCTCGCTTTCTCCCAGTGACACTGCTGATGATGCAAATACTGTCCTTTTAAAGAATGATTAAAGGCGTGATATATTAGAAGCTTTAGCTTTAGTCAGCCTGTTTCCTCTTCCACAAAACTCAGTGATACTAAAGAAGTCTGCACAGTACAAGGTGTTTGTTTCAAGTCTGAACAGCAGAGCTTGAGTCAGTGGCAGGGAAACTGGCTTCTCAGGTTTGAAGCAAAGTGCAAGCAAAGGTAATCTTTTCTTGGAATAGAAGTGATCTTCTGTAAAGCTGATCGGGAGCACAGGAACAGGCCTGTTGATACTTACTGCATGTATTTAAAATGTCTTTAATGTACTTATGTATGAAAGCAAGCAAAACTCCTGACAGGAGCCCAATCTAACACAAAGTTGGTGGACAGGAGCTGTATCATTCCAACTAAATTCTCTACATACATCTCAGCTGTTAGTACTTTCTGACCGATTAAAAAGCAGTACCAGCCACCAACTTAATTCACACTGGATTAAGGTGTTGCCAATCTCAGGGAGTGTGTGGGACATCTGTGTGGGACAAAGCAGTAAATTGGAGAAAGCTTCAATGCTACTGCTGAGAAAAGCTGTCAAGGTGCTTTATAGTGCAGCAGAATCTGCAGGCTCTGTATCTGCTTGCCACAGGAAGAGACCCCTCTAAAATTTCAAGCAGTTTGCTTGCCCAGTTTTGATATTTACCTCTGAGGTTGGCAGATCAAGCCACTTGCACAGGGGCATCGCTCTAGTACCCCATCGGGTTCCAGTTCCCAGGTGATCAGGTTGAGAAGTTGGTTTGAAGGATCATGGCAGGGTTCCCCTTCCTCAGGTAACGGAGTGCACACAGGAAACAGGAGTTCTGCATGCCAGAGTAAATAAATGGTGTGAGAAGTCGTCAACTGTCTGCTAAACTCATGACCTAATCTTTATGTCTACACGCAAGATACAAAAAGACAGACTTGACCACTTAAGTCCCCTTACACATTAGGGTGCCGTAACATAATGTTTTCTACTAGGTGGGAGTAAGAGTTGAAGTTTATGCTTAATGAGCAAGGTCAACTCCTGCTGCTTCATGAAGTACTGTCAGTAAAGTAGTACTGCACAACTCCCTCCCTTGGAGATCTGAGAGACTATTCTCAAAGCAAGAAAACTAACTACAGTGAATCCTTTGCAATGCATAGCATTAATGGTTTAAAATCTGAACAGAGAAATATCTCTATTTTAGAACTGTTATTTTTGCTATTTCTTCTCTGTCTTTGCAGAGATTTCAAGTACAGACCAACTGTTCAGAGACTTAAATAATGAGGTTACAAGAACTACTCAGCCATTTCATTTCTTATAGTAGTTCTACAATAGGTAAAGCTGCCTGATGGCAGTTGGGGCTTGGCAAGGCCAAGCTGGGCAAGTGTTTGAGCTTTCTCCTTTGTTTTCCAGGAGTGCCCCAGCAGGCTGATCCCCGCAGCAGGCTGGCCCAGGAGAGGCAGCCCAACTAGCAGTGAAGGTACAAGGTCACTCCTTGCTCACAGCAAGAGCCAGGTAAAACCTACCTGGTGCAGAAAGGTGGTTGGAAGTGTATCCTGTCACTGCAAAATTAAGGTGAACTATGGTAACAGCTGTGAGGAACTAGCAGGTGTAAGACAGTAGAAGCAGCTGGGGCCTGACCAGGCAGGATTCAGGACTGCTTTCAAGCCTGATACCTTCTCCTCCTCTCCTCCCTTGGTAAATCAAGGTTCACATTCCCATGTGGACTGACAACGTAATCTGGAACATCATTCCTCTACGTATCTTGGCTGTCTGGTCAGTATTGCATAGCCTATAAAACTCAGAGTGTGAAATGCATCTGCAGTCTGATAGTCTGCTTGCTGATATGAAAGAAAAGCCACTTTCAGTAATCTCAATTTATTTTGGACATTTTTAATCCTCTTATTCTTGCTCTATCGGGTGAAAATTTGACACAGAACTCTACTACTTTTACATGTCCGAGACTCTCCTTTAGAAACAGCAGATTTTTGTGCTTCTCATGCTGATCTCATCTCTAGCATGCAACAGGCCTTTTTTTCACTATTGTCCACCCCTATCAGACTGCTTCTCACTCCTAATTCTATTAAAGTTTTATAATGAAGTTAACAGTGTGCTCTACATGCAAAGGGAGAATGTCCTATCGATTCTGTAGAGATCTAACCACTTCACCTGGGCAAAAGAGCTAAATCCTAATGCTCCTGTATTGTAACATGAATAAGAGAAAAAGCAAAACCTCTGTACCTTTCTGAAAAGCACAGCACATTCCAGGGTTGCAGTCGTGTTGATTCTCACAAATGGTGCCGTTCTCTCCTTTTGAAGTGGATTTCCTGCACTCACCCCAAACGCAAAGCTGGTCTCCACAGCATTCAACATCCCGTGAGCAGTGCTTGCAAATGGGAAAGCACATGACACAACTGTCACTAGCACTAACTGCATACAGCAACGGATGGCTACACACAGAATTAGACCTGGTCCTGAAGACAACTGCATGTATGTGCTTTAAATGCATGCATGTCATATTCCCCCTGTTTAAACAGAACTGCTTAGATTCTCAGCTTCAAGCACACGTAGAACTATTTGCCAGACACAAACCTCCACAGCAGAGTAACAGCACTCCTTCTGTACTGCTATACTGTCAATCTTATAAACCCTGAATTCTTATCTTGGCATTTACATCAAAATCCATCAGCAGCCCGGCACCCGACAGTGTAATGTGGATTTCAGGGTGGCCTTTTACAATCAAGGAAAAAGAAATTTAAAAATCAATGGAAAACACTACTGATTTTTTTTTTCTATTGTTAAATGCATTCAGGAATTTACAGTTAGTTCAGAAGCATTGCTTTTAAAGAGCAAAGCAAAAAAGTCTTCCTGAAGTCCCATTTTCAGTTGTAATAAGAACCAGACCTCATTTGTAATCAAGAATCTGTGAAAAAAATCTCTTTGAATAAAAGCTCTTTGCAAATCAGAAATGTAAGTCTCTAGCTAAAGATAGCTTTGTATGATAACTGCCCCAGTGCTTCAACTATACACACCTAATTTATTAGGTTAAGTGGTGTGTCACACTTTCTTTTTTAGGCAGTTTGATTAACATCTTAAAGATTCCTAGTAGGTCAGCGTTTTAACAGCTTGCTTCTGTCTGTGTAAAGCCCTCTCTGGGCAGCCATACAAAATCAGAGGTTTTTTTCCAGTGGATCTCACAGGAAGTGCTTAACACAGGGCAAGGAGGACTATGCTAGCACTATTAAGACCTGATAATTAAAAAGAAAAATATTTTTTAATTGTGGGGGTTCTAGGTCAGAGAATTGATCTCACCATCTTCAGTCTAAGCTCACTTTAAAACAGGAGTGTAGCTAGGACCCAATTTTTACTTTCTTTATTCTACAAATGTTCTACTGAGGACTGCAAAGAAAGGGGTGGTGGTGGGGTTAGGTCATTATAATCTTGATTTTTAATCCATGTTAACATGAAAAATTATCAGTTTAACATTTTTGAAAATATGAATAATAAGCTTTCTTAATAACACTTGAGCATATGTTCAGGACTTGTGTTTAAACAA